ACATATTTTATATTATCAAAATGTGTTTCTATATGTTGTTCATTATCTATACAACTGCCTCCTTCAATGGACGACCACAGGACGAGTTATAGTTGTTGACAAATATATTAATAAACACTTAAATCTGCTTTCAACATTAAAATCTGTTATGAGCCACTCATTAAATGTTTATATAGTGATTATAAATGCTAGATTATGGGTTGAAGTAAAGTTTTAAAAGAAGCAAAACACTATACAGTTATAACAGCTCTGATCCTAGTTGCTCCACTTGCATGGTGAAGATGAATACAATAACAATAACTTATTTTGTAGTAAAGATTTCAATTTATCATTAACTAAGACCAAGGACAGGCACATCGGGATGGGAGAAGCTGTGATTGGAGCACTGGGGGAAATGGGGGCGGGCTTAAATGCCCTGCACTCACATTCAAAGGTGTTTTTCAGAAGCTGAAGGTGGGTGGAGTTATTTAATCTTTATTTAATCAGGTTCAAGATAAACCTGAGAACTACAAAATGTCATAATCAGACAAATACACAATCAGCAAACGGAAATAACACAACTAAGACATGAATAAAAACGTTTACGAGAGTCATAAAATCTCCAGGGGTATGAAGGACTCATTTTAATTTAAAAGGTGCATAGTACCTAAAAAACAGTTATGCCAAGATCAGGGGGGACGTAAGGAATATCAAGTGGTTGCAGGATTGTGTTCTGCAGTTACAAATGGGTCCAAATTCATAAGGGGTGAAAAAGGTGACAAAGATGTTATGTTTATAAATTGCTTTCACAACCATTACGTCTACAAGGTAATTTAAATTCAGTTTCTGTCGTTTCCAGTGAGCTTGACATTTGCCCTTCTCTAGCGACTGTAACAAGTGTTCCATTTAAGCACAGACGGTGACAAATTAAAGGAAAAACCTGAGGAATGAATGGACAAACAGGAGTATGAAAATGATGTGAATCATATGCTGCGGCCTTCACAGTCACCAGATCTCAATTCATCTGAACACCTATGGGAGATTTTGGACCGATGTGTTAAAACACCTCATTAAAACTCCCTCCAGTAGAGTGCAGAGACTTGTAGAATCAATGGCAAGGAACATTGAAGCTGTTCTGGGGGCACATGGTGGCCCAACAACTTACTTCAGCACTTTATGTTATATTTTTTGCCTTTTATTCTGATAGTCACAGTGAGAGAGAGACGGGAAAGTCAGGGAAAGAGGGGATGACATGCAGCAAAAGGTCATGGGTCAGATTTGAAGTCAGGCCACCGCGGTTCTGACTTGCGCTAAACGCTCCACCAGGTGAGCCACCGGGGCAACGCCATGGGTCCATTTCAGCTAAATGTATAAACACCTCATATTCCAAGACAAATCCAAACAATAAGCAGTTTTATTACCTTGTGTTCATTACAGTATTTACATTGCTAATTTTAGCATAAAGAAAATAGACCCATCTGGGGCTAACGTTAATGTTAACTTGGCACTCAACATACACCAATCAGCCATAACATTATGACCACTGACAGTTGAAGTGAATAAGATAGATTATCTCCTTACAATGGCACCTGTCAGTGGGTGGGATATATTATGCAACAAGTGAACATTTAGTCCTTGAAGTTGATGTGTTGGAAGAAGCAAAATGGGTGTAAGCGTAAGGTTCTGCGCGACTTTGACAAGTGCCAAATTGTGACAGCTAGACGACTGGGTCAGAGCATCTTTGACTCGTACCACCTTCCTAAACATTGTTGCAGGCCTAGTCCACTCCTTCATGGGAATGGTATTGGCCTCTTTCAGCAGGACAATAGGCCCTGCCGAACAAGTGGTTTGAGGAACACAACGATGAGTTCAAGCTACAAAAATCATTTGTTGAATAATTACCTTACATTAAAAACAGCCATATTTCATTTCAATGGCATATGGCATACGATGCTTTTATCCACAATTTCAAGAGGGCTGTGTGTGTAGGCTACACCAAGACCTTTCATGACAGTGCTGTGAGGTCTTTACAGTAGAAGAAAACCAAGAATAAACAACCTAAGGTGGAGTTATGCTCGGGATCATGGGAGGTCACTGTACTCTGTGGATGATAAAAGCTATATTTGTCCCGTGCTAGCAGGTACAGGAGCGTGAGGCAGATTTCAATCAGCACACCGTCATGCCCACACAGCTCTAAGAAGAGCTCTCATCAGAAAACATGAGTAAAAACACTTGTATGGGTTTATCATGGGCCTTTAAGATTACTCATTTGGTTTGACTCATACAGCAGGTTTAAATAATAGAAAGGATAGCAACAGTTGCTAGGCAGTTAGCCAGCATTGAGTCAACTCACCCATTCTTTCATATTGTAATGAAGCAAATCATTCCCAAAAAAAAAAGAATCAAGCCTATCTCAGTTTGACAGAACCACTCTCCACCTTCCCTCTGCTGAGAAACAAGAAACTTACTTGTCCGCCTCGTCCCCCAGGAGGCCAGTGTTGGTTTTTATTTGTTAAAGATCAGAAATACATGGCAATTACTGAAAGGCCTTCACATAAACAACAGAGCATACCGTGTGTATGATTTGTTAAACCCTGGAGTCAGACCTCTAAGCACTCCTGCTGGTTGTAAATTAGCTTACTTTGGCCTCCCAGGTTAACACAGCATCGTATCACACACAGCGTGCACGAACAATGATTAGAAATCTTCTCATAAAACATGAAAATCTCTTTTGTTTGTTTGTTAGTAGTATATTTGCTTCAGTTTGGCTGCAGGTATGAACTGCCAGCACCACTAAGAGAAGCAATTATACAAGCAGAAGTGGTATAATGAGCCTAATTAGCAGAAGTAGTAAGAGGTGTAAAAACGGAAGGAGTGACAGTGGATGCTGATGAAATAGTGTCAAACGGCCAACCTAGTGTGGTAGTGTGGCATGTCCCCATATACAGAGACTTCGAATCTACAAATTGCATGTCATCATAGTAAATGTTAATGTAATTAAACATAGTAACAACTTAAAAAAGAGGAGGCAGAATGTTGATTAGGTAATAACTGATTATTATTATTATTATTAAATTATCCTACTATTTGACCCCTGACTGATAGCAGCTGCTACACCAAGGACAACTTTCAATCCATGGAGGTTTTACATTTCCACTCTCTGTATTAAAATTAGTAGGGGAAACATTAGTCCACACAGGCAGAGCCCAAAACGACATCATACATAGATGAGATTTATTTCTCTGTAGTGGCAGTAAACCCACTCTGAGCTAGCTGTGATTAGCATTGCTCATCTGGATCTCTGACTGAAATGTTGGAAGTGGAGTTGCATTGTGGGCAATCTAGGCACCAGGTTTTGACAAGGGAGAAGAATGCGTGGACTTGTTGTGTGTTGCATTGGTCCATCATGAGTCTGATGTATTAACATACCTTAACAGGTTTTGTTTGAAACATATGGAAGAATTTCACTGATCAGAAATTTGCACAATGATATTGAGTCCAGTGATATTGTCATCCCATCACATTGCCATTCATTGACATTAACAAATAACAACTGTTACTGTTGAAACGGGATGTTGCTTGATTGAAGCACAGATAGGAAAACTGCAATGATGGGATTTTACGGTTTCTTCTTTAAGCACAATGAGTTGGCCCATCAAAAGTTACAAAATCTGATAGTTTAAATACTACCAATGCTCATTGAAAATGCACACATTTCCCCCTAATCAATTCGACACGGCCCATAAAGACTACATGTTAACCAGCAGTCACTTCCAGTTATTTCCAAGCTGCTGCTGATATATGAATTCAATGCTGAATCTGTGAAGTACATTTTCTATGTTTGTTAATCTACTTTAACAGGTGTTGTTTGAAGAAAGAATTTCACTGATTAAAAAGTTGCATAATGACATTGAGTCCAGTGATATTGTAATCCCATTAGATTGCAGCCATTCAGGGACATTGAGAAATTACAACAGTTACTCACTTTTGAAACAGGATGTGGCTTTGATTGAAGAACTGACAAAAAAATAAAGAAATTTACAAAATGTGATATTTCATTTACTACCAGCAGTCATTGGTCTGCATAATGCAGAGGCTTTGCCCAAATCCTATTCAGAGGTCATAAACAGTCAGCCTGTCATTTCAATCAGACTGCAGGCTATGGTAGCCCTTTAGGGTCAAACTGTTGCATTTTGACTCTCTTTAAAGAAAATCGACATGATACTTTAAAAACATTAACCTTTCAGAAAAGATTTTTATGTCAATGCTCTTTGGAAAACAGATTATTTTCAAGAACTTACTGCATGACAGGACCTTAAAATCAACTAACATACGTGTATTTTATCGTCATTCCACCCAGGACTGTTTCTGACACATGAGCAGACCCCGTTCTGTCTCTGTTGAGAGGAAGAGCATGATTTTATTTTTCATCTCTACTTTGTGAGTTATGATGGCAAATGCTGAAAGAGGGAAATTGTAAAATAAAAAAACACTTGATGGCGATATGCTGAAAATAATTTTATTCTACCAAAGAGTTTAAAGGCAGCAGAAGCAGAAGTAGGTTTGATAAACACACCACTTACTGCTTCTTTACTGCAAACATTTGCTATTATTAAGTTTGGCTGAGGTGTTGTGGTACAGGTTTGCTTGAATTGACACACATAATTTAGAAACTGGCTTCAAGAATAATTTCCCAATTTTTGAGTTTAGTACTTTGTGCAAGAACTTACTGGAAATTCATACAAGGAACTAGGCAGCAGATCAGCAACAAACACAGCACAATACAAACATGCAAAGATAAATCCTGATCCCTAACTATGTCACGCATTTAAAGCTGTAGCTTCAGAGTGTTTATACTACGTAAACAACACTCATATCAACCACCGTTGGTCTTTTTTGATTCTGAGCTTATAAGAGGGCGGGGCAGTGAGACATTCTGTCGACATGTCAAATATTACATTTGCTTATTGTTGCTGTCCGGGAGATTCCCCTTGCCAAGTCCAGTTCCTGATTGAGTAAGTGAATTAGAGGCCATGTGCCTCTGTTCCTCTTTCTCTCTGCCTTATTAGCTGACACTCTGACATATCAGCAGAGAGCATCTGGTCCTGACAAGCAGCTGCTCAGGTAAGATCGATTGTATATTTACTCTGTAGAGCCACGTTGACATATTTTTGGAGATTTGTTCTCAAAGATTATATCTATAATGATGATCCAAAGTTAGGTCATATTCAAAAAACATACGAATACTCTGCAGGATTTAACCATGCCCTTGATTCTGACTTGTTTGATTGCATATTTGTTGCAGAGTATGTATGGATATTCATGGATGGACCTAAATAATGTATATATTGCAAAGAAATATTAACCTAATTTTCATGAAGAACTTTGTTGTCCTTTGATTTGAGAAGCAAAGAAGTATTACATGTTGTGTAAATTGTGATAAAAGGCTGCAACACAGATTAAGAAAGATTCACTGACCAACCACAACATTACAACAGGTAACAGGTTTTAATACCTAATATTCTGCATCATCAGTGTTGCTAGTGTTTTTGGATGTATATTTAGATGGAATAGAGTTGCTTTAGCTAAACTGAGTGCTGTTGTTTTGGTGTGTAGTCTGTGACGATAAGCAATTTTGGCTTCCTCTCTTTGATAAGCAGCTGTTTCACTCAATATTTTACACACAGTTTTGTTGAAAAGATACCATGGCCTATTGACTATCTAAATACAGAAAAGTAAACACTTTGACCTCTACTGCACCTCCGACCCACATAGAAACTTAAGAGAGCTTTCCACTGTTAGTCACATGTCTTCAATTTTTTCCGTTCAGTCTGTTTATTATTCAGTCTCTTCTTTCAGAGACTAAATCTATCATTCAAACATGCAACACACCACGGATGAAGCAACATCATCTGCAAACGAAAAAAACTGGTTAGATTTTGAATGACTGATGGAGCTCTTGATCACAGATCATCAGCATGTGACAGCTGAGTTTTAATGTCATGGCATATGCTAATACTTACTATATTACAGCTGTGTCTTAAAATGTAATGTACTCTTTTAGTTTGAATTGAATTATCTGAAGCGCATTTTCTACAGTGAAACCTTCAACATTTGTGTATCGAATCAACAAAGCACACTTAAAAGGGACAAAAAAATGGCAGAGCTGGCCTTTACTCTCAGCCTAATTTAATAAAACTCCAGCTTGCCTCCTTATCAGGGGTCATGTGGTTTCTCCTGCAGCACTGACAGTCAGCCCTTTCAGGCCTCAGCTGAAGCAGGAATGCATTTCCCAAAGCAGTGGTGGAAACTTTTCTCAACTACTTTGATCCTTTAAGTTCTTCTGCGCATTCACTTAAACAGGATTTTTAATACAGGACTTGTATTGGAGTATTTGTATGTTGTTGTATTGGTATATTTAATAAATGAGTACTTCTCCCACCACTGACCCAGGGACTTCACTCTGGATCTTCAAGTTTACAGAGTCTTGAAAATACTCGGAAAAAGAACTCCATACACACCCGATAGCGTAGATTATCTTTATCATGGAGAGTGGTAAATGATGACATTATTTAAAACCGAAAGAGCTGTGCTTTGAAAAGACACCCCTGACTTAAATAAATTTATGCTATGGGATATTTCAGTGAAGAATAAGGAAGCGGTAACTTTTAATGATAAAAAGTAAAAGTCCTCTAAATCAGGAAGTTTTCATTTATTGCTTTTCAAGTGCTCCTTGCAGAACAGCAAACATGTCAACCACACAAAAGCAGAAACTTCGCCTGATCTACTGGGGCAGGTTCATAAAAATAAAGAAGGTGAGAATTTTGCTCATGATCTTCCCCTTTTTTTTCTTTTTTTTTTTTTATCTCTCAACAGTCAAGATGTCTCTGTGCTGTTGGTTCATTCTGGTGGCTCTCATCTCTACGACCTCAAGCAAAAACCCTGGAGTAAAGGTCAAGCTGACACAAAAAGGCATTGAATATGGTAGGGTTTGCAGCAGAAGTTTCTTCTTCTAGTTGGCCTCTCTTTGAAGTGCCTTGAATTTCTCATCCTCCAGTTTTCTCTGGTTTTGTTAGGCAGACAACTGGGCATGGCTTCGATCCAGCAGAAACTCAAAACCATCAAAATCCCAGACATGTCAGGAAAACAGAGGGTGTCTCCTATCGGCAAAGTCAAGTACAGTTTGTCGAAGTAAGGCGGCTCTATATGTTCGGCACTCATGAAAATTCTGTTGGTGAAGGTGATGTTTTATTAACTGAGCATTTTGTTTATTCCAGTATTCAAATAGTGAACGTGGGCTTACCAGAGTCTGGAGTGACTCTTGTCCCGGGGACTGGCGTCAGACTGTCCATTGGTAATGCCAACCTCAGTCTGCGTGGAAGGTGGAGGGTCAAGTATTTCCGAATAATGTGAGTGAGAAAAGAAAACCTCCACCTCCCACGGCACATTTAAATCTATTTTGTGATATTTCTGCTGCAGCGGCGCCTCCTCTCTCTCCCAACAGAAAGGACAGGGGCTCATTTGATTTGAGTGTGACTGGACTCAGCATCAGCCCAAGCATCGCCGTCAAGAGTGACGAGAGAGGCCGACCAGCGGTGAGTGCTGTCAACTGTGCTGCTACTGTCAGCAGCGTGAGGGTCAAGTTCCACGGTGGAGCCAGGTAAAATAGGCCCTGCTGGGCATATTACAGTACATTTGAACCTATGTGAGGGAATATCAATGTCAGCTTCCGGTTTTACTTGTCATGCTTGATGGACTGAATACTTCCCTAATTGCTGTGGTTGCTTTTTCTTTCAGCTGGCTGTACAATCTCTTCAAAAAATTCATTAACAGGGCTCTGCAAAAGACAGTGCAGAAACAGGTGAGGGGAAACCAGCCTGTTTTTGATGACCACCCTCCCTCTCTGGGGATCTTATTGCCAAAGCATCTGATTTCACCACTAGGGGTCCTCCTAAATGCAGCTAAAAGATTCCTCTTAAGATTTGTTCACAAAGCTGCCCAGAGCAGCTTCTACTGGGGAACTCCTGAGCTAAAAGACGGGGTTGGGGTTGAGCCTGCTGCTACGGATGACATCATAATTCATGAATGAACTTCCTCGGGTTCCTTCCTAGAGTAACAGTACCAATAAATTAATGTGAAACTACAAGTGAAAGTCTTGTATTCAAAATACTATGCATAAGTGAAGAAGTGTTACCAGCAAAATGTACTTTAAAGTATCAAAAGTGAAAGTATTGATTCTGTAGTATAATGGCTCCTGTGATTTTGACATTATTAGATAGTCATTACTGATGCATTTATGTGTACGCTGCATGGAGAGATACATAAGAGTTTGTCTCTTCTTTATTGTGACAGATGTGCCCTCTGGTGGCCAACGCAATATCTGATCTGAACCCTCAGCTGAAAACTCTCAATGGTAAAACATCCATGTACAAACAACATCCATCAAACACGTTTAGCTGTTTCTCTGACGCTGAATGTATGAGTGACTTTCTGCTTCCCTGCAGTTCTGGCCAAGGTAGACAAGCATGCAGAGATTGAATATTCCATGGTGGCATCACCCACAGTTACAAAGTCTTCTTTAGACTTGAGCTTGAAGGTAAAGAGTTTTACCTCTTACTTTCTTAAACCTTTCTACATTTTAGAATCTGACAGTGCAAGGTGATGATAAACAAACAAACTGTCATTGTTTTTCTGCCTCTCTCTTTTCGTCTTCTGCCCTTTAGGGAGAATTTTACAAGATTGGGGGGCATCAGGAGCCTCCATTCTCCCCCGTGGCCTTTTCCCTGCCGCCCCAGATCAACAACATGTTGTACATGGGCATGTCCTCCTTCACTGTCAACTCTGCAGGCTTTGTCTACAACAGAGCTGGAGTCCTCACCCTGAGCATCACCGATGACATGGTCAGTGTTTTTTTCGAAAGCTTAGCCTTGAAAGCTACCAATTACTTTACATTAGAAGAAGTTGAACTACAGCAAAGCTACCATAAGGAGAAATCTAGTTTTGTTAACTAAAGCCACTTACAAAATGTTTTTTTTAAACTACTCAAAGTGACAATGTACAAATACAAAAAAGTCACATGCCAGCAAAAAAGTACCATCCAGTTAAGTTTATTGCAAAACCATAAAAAAAAAATTTTTTTAAAAAGCAACTATTCATGGGAAAGTGCTGGAACGTCAGCTTTGGTTTTGTAAACAATAACTGTGAGTGCGGCCATGATGATTCTTCCTAAGACTGAGGTTCAGGAGGTTAATCCATGATGATGTAGCTGTGTGACCACTGAGCAACGCCCACCCTTGACTTTTGCACTTGCACTAAACAAAGGTCAGGTGTGTGGTGGCGGCTGCCTGACGAATGCATTGTCTGGACATGTCTTCACAGTGCTCACAGTGAATGAACAAGAGGGTGGGGCTGTTCAATTACAGAAGAGAAGCAATGGTTCAAAGAATAAAAATAAAAATTGTTCCTCTCCATTGATGACCCAACATTGTTTTTTAATTTCATTTAACTACATAAAAATGGCAAAAAAAAAGTTCATTTCTGAAAATGTAGTTAAACTACTGGTTTGATTACATGTAGTTCACTACTCCCCAACAGTGGATATGGTGAGCTGCTCCCTCTTGATATCTTACTGAATTTTCTTTCCTGACGTCTCACTGACTTTCACCCTCTCTCATTCTGTCACAACAGATCCCGAAAATCTCTCCCGTCCGACTCAGCACCAGGACATTTGGGACCTTCATCCCGGAGGTGACAAACACATTCCACTGATTTGATAAGAAACATCACCTTCACTGGAAGTTTGTCGGGTATATATCTCTCGTGTATTTTCAGATCAGCAGGCGTTTCCCAGGTCTGTTGGTAAAACTGCAGGTGAAGACGGTGAAAGATCCCGTCGTCACCTTTGAGCCCAACAATGCTACCATTCAGGCCACCGGCAGCGTGACGGCCTTCGCTATCCAACCCAACAGCACACTTACCCCCCTCTTCGTCCTGAACTTGGTGGGTTAAACAGCCGGCACGACAACAAGCCACTGTGTGATTCAGAAAAACACTGAAACTCTCTCACCATATTTATCTCACGTTACAGGACACCAGTGTCAGCACCAAACTGTTTGTCAGTGGAATGAGGCTGGCTGGAGCTGTCTCCCTCAACAAGTGAGTTACTTAAAAATCAGGACTTGTTCTCAGAGGAGAAAAACGGGGGCCAAAAGGTCCCTGTAGAGATGAACATCACGGTCTAATTTTGCCTCATTTGCAGAATGGCTCTGACCCTGGGGACAAGTTATGTGGGAAAATTTGAGGTGAGAGATGAATTTTAACACGAGTCCCAGTGTGTTTCATCAGCTCCAAGTCAACGAACTAACCCCAACCCCTCACCTACAGGTCAGTTCCCTCAGCAGCATCCTGTCAGTCGTCCTCAGATTGGTAGTCATACCCCAAGTGAATGGTGAGTTTGTGAATTTTCGGTTTGTATTCTGTATTAACTAGGTGCCGTGTCAAGTACGCAGACTGTTACATGCAGATCAACACTGAGCACAGAGTTCAGGGGATTTTTTTTTAGACTCTGATGTAAGTTTCAAATCCAATCTACTTAATGCCTTCATTTCAAGCAGGCTATACCAGTGGGTCCCAACCTTTTTTTTGTCTTTTTGTTTGGTATCGACACCAGCCATTATGTTCCTCATTTGTCCATTTGAACTGAGTTTCAATTAAATGGCATTTAACACTCTTAATTATATAAAAAGTGGATACTGATACAACATTTTTAGCCATTTGAGCAACAAACCACTTTGGTCCAAACTGAAATTTCATGGACCGCCATAAAACTATATACAGACATCCATGGTTCTCACACAATGTGTCCTAATGACTCTGGTGATCTGCAGACTTTTCTTCTAGTGCCACCATATGTTGAGATTTTGCTTTTTATTGAAATATCTTGACAACTATTGGATGGATTGCAGTGAAATTTGGTTCATGAATTGAATTGCAGGATGGGTGATTTGTGATCACTTTGATTCCCTGAACTTTAATCTAACGCCATCATCAGATCTAAATACTTTGATTGTCGACTAAGTGCCTGCAAAACAAAATACCAAAGGTTTTCAGTCATACTACTACTACTACTGAGAAAAGCACTTTCCATTTCTTTTAGTTACTTTGACTTCTCTGCTTGCTATCTGGTTTTCACCCTTTCTCAATCCAAACAAATGGTGTAAAGGTTTTAAAACTTACTGAGGTTGATGGAAGCAGTAGCCTGTGCAATCAGCCAATCGGAGCTGGCAGTTTATTGGTTACTTTGTAAACAGATACACTACAGACCATCCTTGCCAAAATATCATCGAACACAATTACAGTCAGTGAGTGAGACAAACACAGGGGGAGAGATGAGATGAGAGACAACAGTCGCAGAAATAAATGAGGAATGTGGGGGAGTGAGAAGTAAGAGGGAAAGAAAGAGAGAGGGAGGTGTTAAAGCTGTTAAATTGTTAAGATGGACTACCTGGATTAGGGTATATATATCTTTTTTTAATTCATACCATATCAAAGTCTCTCTGATCACCCTCTGCTAATTTACTAAATATCCTCACCCCCCCAGTCGGAGGAGACAGGAAATGTGTCTTTCTTGTTGCCCTTTTTAAAGAACTTTGTATTTGTTTTTATATAACCACTTCGCATATTGATAGCATCTTTAAATTTTCATCAAGTTTTGTTTTTTCATTTTCATTGTAATAAGGTTCCACCAGTTTAAAAGTTGTTAATTACCCTCTCAGCATGCGTGTGGTGTTTACTGTATTTCTTTTTCATGTTTATCATCTTTTTATGCAAAGCACTTTGAGCTGCATTTAATGCATGAATTGTGCTGTATAATTATCTTGTGTTATAAATCCAACCTTAATAATATCATTATAATGTTTGCCACATTGGATTTCTGTGACTAGTTAATCTAAATGTATTCATTTTGCTCCACAGTTCAACTTGCAAAGGGATACCCACTTCCTGCAATTGGAAAGATGAAGCTTGTGAACACTCAGGTTCAGGTCCTGAAGGTCAGAGACATTATATTCTCGATAAAAGTACCTGCATGTGTTACATGTATTATATCACTGGCATTTTATGAGGGCTAATCTGACATTAAGAACATGGTAGAAAACATCTTAAATATCTAATTGATTAACAGAATTAATCATCTCAGAGCTGCTATTAACTGCTGTTGCTGTGCTTTTCTCCAGGACTACATGCTGATTGGAACAGATGTTCAGTTTGCAAGTTAAGCTGCATGCCTTAAAACTCCCAGGATGCCTTTCTGCACTGAAGCATGTAGGAACAATCACAGCAAGAGCACAACTACCTGACAGAGAAATTTCGAAGAAATCAAGTGTTGTGCAAGTATTACTTCTCCTGCAAACCTGAGAAAAGCATGCCTCTGGTTTGCATTTGGATCTCACATCAGATTTTTATCTTTTCTTTTTTTTTTTATATATACTGTATATTGTTTTTTCTTTTAAATGTGAACTGTGTCCAGCTTTTCTACATATGAAATGTAGCGAACCTCTCCACGAGGGTTTACTGCAGCCCTGTCATAACAGGCGACAGTCTGCAGGAGGACGGGGGGGGATTTGCTGCTGTCACCATAATCATCTTTTTTGAAATAACGTGCTCCTTCCAAAGCAGATCACAGCACTTTCTCTTGCTGACTTTAGGCAAATTCTTTCTCAAAGTTTCCAACTTTGTAGCTCACGCAGCGATTGTATAAATGTGCTGACCAAATGACATTTTTAAACCAGTTTGGAAAATGTCCACAAAAAAATTAAAAAAAAATGCCATGACATCAATCTGGCACCACTGCTGACAGCAAAACAGACAGTATTCTTTTAATTTACATCGTCCAAACAGGTTTCAGTATCTTAAGTAGTTTAATATGTACATACACACAGACGGTACCGACAGCATAAATAATCCATTGCAGTTTTCGTAGCTCATCGTCTGTAAAAAAAAAAAAAAAAAAAAAAAAAAAAAAACAGCCTCCATGTATCTTCAAAGTCAAACAAGAGAATAGAACAAAGTGTGTTGTCATCTGTGTCAATCAATGGCAGGTTTGAATCACGGTGTCGACCGAGGCCACACGTTCATCAACCTGGTGAGTAGGCAGAGTCTCACAGTGCTTCACTGAGCCTCTCAGGGAGCTGTGACCGAGGGCTCGACCTCTCAGGCTCTGGGAGTTGGCCGACGATATCTACGTTAAACACACACACAAAACATCAAAACAATGAATGACTGAATGATGAAATCTCTGAAAAGTACCGTACTGTGATGATTGTTGAAATGATAGTCCTAACGCTCAGTGGGAGAAAACATGCTTTTTCATGCTGTTATCTTTTACCTTTGATTTTATGGTTGTTATGTCACAGCTTGACATGAGTTTTAAGTGACTTTATTAAAGGTGTACCTATACCCCAACATCTGGAAATGTTTATTTTGTGACTATTACGGAGAGACTTGTCATCTCCATCTCATACTGATAACTGGGTCTTTGAGGGTGACAGCGATGTTAGTATTTGAGAGATGGTGACATTACAACAACATAAACACATAATATACAATATATGTTATTATTTTAAAATTATCCTTATTAAGAGTTGCATGCTCAAAAACTGAGCTGATCTGCTTCATCAGGACTGTGTGCATTTGATCAGATTGAACTGACAGCGATGAAACAGACTGTCGTCAGATTCAGATTCAGATGTTCCTGAATCCTGATTGGTGCACACAAGTACATGACATCACCTTTTTTCCTACTGAGCCACACACACCCACTCCAAACCAGTGAGAGGATAAATGAGAAATACAGAAACTTTCTCAGGTGAAATAACCAACGCTGTTCTAACTAAAATAGTGTTAAAAAAAATCTTCTTTCTAACAACCTTAAAATATCTTTGGCATTTGATTACAGCAACTTCTTGTCACTTAATTTGCACCACTACTAATAAATCTGTGATAATTTTATATCTACCAATATTATCAGCCGTATCTGTCACACTCTATTTGGAAGAAGATTTAAAAATGTGCTGACTAGGACGATCTGTATGAACCGAGCCCTACCTTCACCAGCACATAGTCTCCAGCATTGATCGGTGCAGTGTTGGATTCTGGGAACTGAGCAGCAACGTCCTCTTTGGGGAAAATCACTTTCATATTGCCATCAGTTCTCCCACACAGGTCCTCGGCTGATCTTTTACTTTTCTGCATCAAAATGAAACCCAGAGATGAGCAGTGTTGCTTGGTAACAACCTGGTAAAAGTACAACATCCATATACCCATTTTCTAAACCATTTATCCTGTGCAGGGTCACAGCAGGGTGATAAATATATAGTAGATATCATATGTATTAAAGAGTGAGCCTAACACTGCTAACAAGTCACCGTGTGCCAGTCATGTGTGCAGTACTCACTCCCTCCACCAGGACGAGCCGCGTGCTGCCGATGAGAGCGGCGTTGACCCTCGCAGCTTCCTCCCTGAACACACTGATACACTCCTCCAGCCTCCGCCGCTTCACCTCTGCCGGCACGTCATCCTGCAGCCGATGGTAGGCGTTGGTTTTCTGGGTAAGATGAGGGAGACTGGGGTTTAATTCTAAACTTGACAAAAGATTTTTTGGTGTAATATACATGCACACTACAAACGCACAAGAGCTCACCTTCCTCATACTGTAGGCAAAAAGGAATCCCACGTTGTAGCCCACCTCTCTGATCAGAGACAGAGTCTGCTGGTGGTCGTCTTCCGTTTCACCGCAGAAGCCGGAGATGAAGTCACTGCTGAGACTCACCTCTGACACACAGACAGAAATGATGTTTAACACACCAGGGTTCAGGGTTTTCTGTTCTCTTTAATGTTTAATCCCTCTGCAGATATAGCTGTATTATTCATCAACAAGTGGCTCTGTTGCATCTTTTTAAGTATTTGGCTTGAGATTTCTTTGGGGCTGCGGACAATATTTGACCACCAGCTTAAACCTTCTATTATCACGCTAAACTGCATGTTCACGTTATATATGTTTTAATATCTTTCCATTGTGCAACTTCAGTGTGTTTGAGGACAAGTCTGGCCACATAATATAAAGATTTCTCACTATGTGCAAGTGCAAAATAGGTGGAAACGAAATAAAGCTGGAGACAAAATAAAGAAAAACCTGATTTCCATAACCTACCTGGGATGATTTTCTTAATGTTCTTCACAAGATCAAGGTAAGCCTCTCTTGTGTAGCTGTATTTTCATTTTTTTTTTTTTTAAAGAAAAAGAGGCGTTATCAGAACACTTACTAACATTTTAAGAGACTTTATAAACTGAATTGCACGGCGGTTTCTTACCCACGACGCATTGCTTTCAGGACCTGGCTGCTCCCGCTCTGGGCTGGAAGGTGAATCTGGTTGCAGATGTTTCTTCGTTCTGCAATCAGATGCAAAACCTGTGAACACCAACGCAGAAACCAGGTCAGCGAGCGTCAGTCAGCCAAGTTAATATGGGACTTACACACAGAAACAGACAGGGGTTCGGTCTTGTTAGTTGGCACTTTGTTGAACATCTGTATTTGTCATCTGACAAGTTGGAAATCAACACTGGACTGTCATGAGACTGTGTGATTTTGAGAATGTGTTTTCAGCAGCTGCTCTGTCAACAGAATTTTTTTTAAAAAGCTGACCTCGTCAGGAAAATCCTTGGGATGAGGGGAGGTGAATCTGATCCTCATGTCGGGATCGATGAGTGACACTCGGTCCAGCAGGTCGGAGAAGCGCAGGCCTCCCTGTTTTGTTCGGTAAACCGTCTTGAAGCCGCGGCTGTGCTGGGTCAGGTCTGAGCCGCAGAACTGTTCTTCTGACGTGTCTCTGTAGCTGTTGACGTTCTGACCCAGCAACGTCACCTCCTTCACACCCTGAGGAAAACATCCACCACACAAGCACTAGTCAGGGACGCTGTTCACTCTGGAATGTTAATATTAATCTTGAACTCTGAGTTTAACCTAGCAATCGATACCAAGTGTCAATCTGAGCTATTCATCTTAATGTACAGAACAGATCTCTGTAGACCCACACGCAAATGATATATATACTGTGTATATATATATATATATATATATATATACAAATAAAATAAAACGTACATTTAAAAATGATATATAAAACCTATTAGAAATTGGAACATATCTAAATTTATATCCATCATAAGCCTGTCAATATACAGTATGTTGGTATTAAATACAGTTGGGTCCAAAAGTCCGAGGCAACTTTCCCAGAATGGGAAGATAGATATTAGAATTAGTGAAAAACATAATTAGGCATATAGAATTTGTATATGTATGTTGTTTTAATAAACCTATACATATAAATGAAATATATATTGTTAGCATATATGCTTGCAACATATAAAAATTAATCACAGATATTTTTCATGTAAATATACAAATTTTACTATGAGTATTTGTATGTTATAAACTTATATCTTCATATATCCAGAGAATGTATATATATGATCACAGTATATGTCATATATTACACCTCTTAGTTGGTACCTAGCTTGAGAGGTTACAGTTACACCATTAAACTAAAATGTAATCAAATTTTCTCTAATACAAGTTCAGTTAAGTTGCCATATATCACAGTTACTCATGTTAGAAATGATCTGAAAAAACAGTTGCTCACACAAAACTTTACTTCTGAGGACGTTAATTAGAAAAATATTATTGTCTAACAAACCCGTTGTCTAACAGCCCTATTGTCAGTGCAGTCATTGGTCTAACAGTAATGAAACCCCTCAGTTATAAACAAGTGTAGGAAACTGACTGACTTCATCATTGAGGCCATAACTTGCCTGGTCAGAGAGCAGACGAACTTCCTCAAGAATAGAGCTGACAGGTCGACTCCTCTCTCTGCCTCGGGTGAAGGGGACGATGCAGTAACTGCACATGTTGTCACAGCCTCGCATGATGGACCTGCCGGACACATAAAGCCATCAGATGGTACCTTATAAAGACTAAGAGCTGCTGAGACTTAACAGGAGGTGGTGTGGAGGGCGAATAACCTCCCCCAAAACCATCATTGCCACTTAACAAATCCACACACTCACACAAAAGCACTGTGTCCCTGAGGGGCATAGTGGACAGGCATGATGTCAGCATAGGTCTCTTCTAAAGACAGCAGCACGTTGCTCGCCTGAAGACCTCCGTCAGCTACAGTCAAGAGGCGGGGGAGGTCGCGGTACGCATCTGGACCTGCGAGAACGTCTACCAGCTTCTCCCGCTCCAGCAGCTCAGTCTTCAACCTCTCTGCCATGCAACCTGGAGAGACACACCCATTAACATTTCTCAGTAGCCGCTGTAATCCAATCACATATGTGTACATTAGTGAACTCACTTACCTAAAATCCCAATTTTCATTGGTGTGTGGGTCTTTAACCGTTTTCTTTTCATAGCTGTTAGCTGCTTTAGTCTATTCCAAATGGTCTGTTCAGCTTTTTCTCTGTTATGAAACGAGATGAGGTTTCTCTGTTAGTTGGTGCATCTAGCGTGTGAAAACCTTGTGATGCATATTTTACAAAGTTTATATAATTGTTGCACATACAAAAGCAGCCATTTAGGTTATTCCTGAGACTGTAACATTAACATTAAGTAACATTTAAGCTACAACACTATCTTACCTTATGGAGCATGTAACCAGAAGGACAACGTCTGCCTGCAAGCAGAAAAAGACATTTTTCCTAACTGCGCTGACTGATTAAAATGGTAAAATAAAAGCAGAACTCAGCTGTACCTCATTTAAATCACTCGTGCGTAGATATCCCTTCCTCTGTAGTATGGACCAGGCTATCTCTGTGTCGTTTACATTCATTTGACATCCATAGGTTTCAAAATACACTGGAGCAAAAACAAAACACAGATTCAGCATTTGTCCCAGACAATCAACATGAACTCTGTCAATAGCCTTCAATCACAAAGACTAACCTCTCCTTGAATTCCCCATCTCCAAGTCCTCAGAGAGATAACCATGTCTGTCTGAGGACTCTTCATCTGCAGGTTGAGTCTTATTAACTGAAACTCCTTTGATGAAATCCTGAAAATTTGGACCAGAGGACAACTGGGTCCTGAACCTGTCCACAGCTGTCCTCCTCTGTCTTGAAGTGACACTGGCCTTAGCTAAATTAGAGCAATATCTGGTTGGGATACACCTGACAGGTATCCAGTGTTGGGGAAGAGTAAACAAGGGTTTTAAAGTCCTGAGGAATTCCATGCTTAGCTAGCTATAGCACAAAGAGCAAAGGCTAACTGAAAGCTCTAACAGAACAACTCAGTGAGTTGCCGTAGCACTAACTCGTAGCTGACATTTTGTTGTTTTTCTTGCTGAATAAGTTACTGCATGTGTGCGAGCTGCATTGGCTAAATGTCATTCACGCACTTCTCAAGTGGAGCCAAAGCTGTCTAAATGTCAAGAAGGGTATCTCCCCCTTCCTAAGTAACGTTACACAAACCCGGAAAAGCGTCTTAATGAAAATGTTTTTATGTATCGGTGTTAGTTTTGGGAACAGTGGCATGAGCTCTAGCTTATAACAGCTAATGTACAACTACCAAAACTATTAAGAATGATATACGCTTTTGAATTCAGCTGTACATGGGTAAAACCGAAGTAACCGTGAGTGTTATCTTTCAGAAATGTACTGAAATGGCGAAGTGTTAGGAAACAATTCAGTATCTTAACCAGACTTTTTATTATCAAACAGCTCGATTAAATCCTGGAGGCCATGTCTGAAAAAAAAGTAATGGTTTAGTACTTCAGGATGTCCTGCTCAGCGAAGATGAAAGTAAACATCAGAGAATCATCTTGCACCCTGGCTGTCCGTTAGCCAAAGTCTTCCCCTGGTCCGTCAAATTTTACGGTCCGTCTAAAAAAAACCCTTCACTAAAAACAACGTTCCGGGTGGCGAAAGCTCCGAAATGACCTTTTAGTATAGGTATAGCCCTCACATCTCGAATGAATCTTTATTGGTGAGATATACAGATCCCACTTATTTTTCAAGTCATGGACCCAATCCCGGTGCACTGATGTCTTTTTACCTGAAAAAAACACTGTCAGTATGTTTGCTATCACCCCATCTGCAGCACCAATACAGGATATAAACAACATAAACCATTAAAACAATGCAACCCGTTTCCCTGCAACACATAACTGTTAAACATTAAACATTAGAAAAAATGGTAATTTTTATTCAAATGCCTTTTAGTTTTTAAAACAGCAATATGCAGTTTGATTTTATTTTGTTTTATTTGATTGTAAATATTTTTTATCATTGTGTCCAATAATAGGCACTTTTTTTTGTTTGTTTTGGTTTGTGTATTTGTTTTTCTAACCAGGCTGCATTGGGCAAAATTCTCTGAAATGAAAGTCTATAAATGCATTTGCATTTCCTCACAAGCTACATTATTTTTGGGAACGATTTGCATAATGACTGTATAAGACAGAGATGGTAATGTAATGGCTCTTAACAATGTTAATTATCAACTGTAAACGATATCTCATCCTACCACATACTACTATTATTATTATTTATTTTTAAATAATGTTTTTTCATTTGTTATAATGAAATAAAACTTACATTGTAACCTTGTACAATATATGCAGCATTTCTGTATTTATTTGTTCATGCCAATAAAGCAAATATGAATTTGGTAAAGTAAGAGAGAGAGAGAGAGAGAGAGAGAATGCAGATAGCTCAGCTCAATGGGGGAGAGAGAGTGAGAGAGAAAGATCATGTGTGATGTGGGAGTGACTGGGAGCTACAGGTTCAGTATAAACTGACTATGGATGCACGGATAACACACAGTACTGTTCCAGTGTCTCTTTTGTCCAGTGTTTCCTGGCACTCAGTGATGATGAGAGAGGAGGGTACTGAATAAAGAGGAACTGCAGGGAATTCACATAAAATATCAAGGTAACTCTGACAAAACAGTATGACTGTATTGTATACATGTGAATTAATGTAATATCTGTGCTTTGATAATTTTAAACATTTTGAATTCAAATTTGACATTTTCCATCTCAGAAAACATCTCTGCCTGCTGCAACTTCAGTGCCTTCTGCAGAGCCACAAGGCTGCCTGAGAGGAAACTGTGGTTTCAGCGTTTTTTCTAATGTAATTTCTACTCCTGTCATTTATTCTAGCCGTCCATTCTTCTCCAAGACTAGCTGTGATGATGGAGAAAGCTGCACTGCTCCTGTTTTGTTGCCTGGTCATGTCTTTATCAGGTTCCCCGCTTTACCCATCCATTAGGTAAGTCCTGACAGATTTACTGAAATTTTTCACCTCTAGTTCATTTCCATTATTACCGTATTTATAAGTGTTTTTAAAGTTATTTAAAAAGCTTATGCCTGGTCAGCTCAGCAGCTCAGATTTATAAATGCCTATCGATGAGAAAGAAGTGGGGAAGACTATTGGTTTGAATAAAGGATTTTTTAAATTGTGATACTGACAAATTCAAACACTACTCTAAATACACTCTGTAGATTATCTGCATAAAATAAATGTTGCTAAGCTTTAGAGAACAGCCTATGTCTTTGCCAAGTGAAATGGAAAACATAAAGTTAACTCAAACATTTAAGATGAACAAGTCTAATAACACACAGAAAATAACACTCAAACCTGAAAGTTAATGACTTGATCCCAGTGTCAGGGCTGAAAACAAACAACGAAAAAAAAGGCTGTTTGTAGTGTATGAGGTGTTAAACCTTTCACTGGCTACTTTGCATGTCATAGCTGTGTCCTCTGCACTTCCTATGCTAACAGGAGCCAAGGCGTCTGGATTAGTCACTTGCACGTGTTGCATTTACACAACAGCTTGATCACAGTGTCCTGTGTCAAAGCAGAATATGTCATTTTACAAGAGCTGGAGCATTTTGTATTTAGACTGAGGATCATCTTCGTCATCAAAACTCTGCATTATAATTCTATCAGTTTCTCTTTTGGGTGAAAAATTGTCAGTGTGGTATAAAGTGTGTGAGGAATTTTGAATACAGTGTTCTATTCGTTTAGTTAATGGGGATATTTCTCAGGTTCGGCCAGAGGGACACATCCATCCTGATGACATCTTCTATAAATAATCCAGCACAGAAGCTGCGGGATGACACAAGTCCTCCCAGGGAGCGAGCAGAGTTACGGTCAGTATGTTAATGTGGACTGAGTGGCCAATGTAAAAGATGGCTTAAAGGCTCCGTTGACCTAAATTACATTTTTTTTAAAAAAACACATATTTTATGTTTCTCATTTACCTCTCATGGTATCTACCAATGTAAGGCAGATACATTTGAGATATCTGCCTCTAAGACTTCAGCCTCCACCCCAATACAGTACAGGTGAATGACATTTCTGTTTATGGTGCACACAGCATTTATATTTAAATTTATATTCATATTTAATTGAATTCAACAGCACCATGTCCTTTCATAGGAAGTGTCTGACAACAGTTTATTATTATTATTATTATTAGCAGTAGTAGTAGTAGTAGTAGTAGTAGTCATAATATTAGTAGCAGTAGTAGCAGTAGTAGTATAATAATAATTATTTATTAATTCAGAACTAGTTCCAAAGAAATCTGTTGACAGTTCAGACAAGGGTATTTCAAAAATCCAAAGATCATTTGTGAGAGAAGAAGCTGGATCATTTTAAATCTTCTGCACCCATATGTGCAGACAGATAACAGACCCTCTGTTGTTGCTTCACTATACTTGAATTTACTTTTTTTTCCTGACAAATGTTGAAGAATGCTGTTGTGTAATAACTGAACTTACCTGAATCGTCCACTGTCTGATTTTAGCTCAGGACGTCACGCTGACGCCATCTTTACAAACAGTTACAGGAAAGTCCTGGGCCAAATCTCTGCCAGGAAGTTCCTTCAGACAATTATGGGCAAACGGCTGGGGTAGGTGTTACTAGAGGAGTGATGTCGCTCCGGTATATTCAAATCCAACAGGATATCGACAGACCATTGTAACATGAGTTGTTGGTGTTTTTTTTCCATAGTGATGAAAGTGAGAGCTACATGAAGCGTCAGTCAGGCATCTACGAGGGGACGTATAAAGAAGATCTTACATCCATTCAGAGCAATCAGAGATACAGAGTGCACGGGAATGCCATGGGGCCCAGGTGAATCAATACTATCAATACCCCCATGGAAGCTCAAACATACAGACATTCTAATCTGATGATGATGATAATAATAATAATGACATGTTAGTCTGTCACTAACCTGAGTTTCTCCTCTGTACAGACTGCTGAGTTGAGAACTGTGGATCGGACAAACAGAAAGCTGCCAGTGCTCAGCACCCCTTCACCCCTCACCACCATCACCGCTTGTTTTCTTACACCTCCTCCGACCTGCTCTTTACAAATGCAAATCATATTGTCATTTTTCTATTCCCATTAAAAGCTGTAAAGAAAAACCTGCAACTCAGCTCATGACTGGAAAAAAATGGCACTGGAGGAACTTTTAAATTGTGTAATCTGAAATAGCAATAATGAATAATTAATGAAATCTCAAGATTCATCTCAGAACCAGTGTGGTGAGAGAGAGTAAAATGTATAAATGATACAGTTTTGAGGTGTTTGTGCTTTAACTGAGGTAATTGTTTCCATTTTTATCCTTCTTTATCCTTCATTTCAGAGGAACATATTGCACTTTTTATACCTCTACATTTATTTGACAGCTATAGTTAATGTGTCAGATTAAGATGTTGTATACAAAACATACAGGACCAGATTAGATTCATTTAATGAGCTGTGCCTATTCAGTTGCCCAATTAGTCATGCAGCCCTAAAAACATTCAATCAGTTAATAAGAATGATGTATGGACTAAGATTAAACTACCAAATGTATTTCAAATAAGCTCCACCTAAACCAGCGACCTTAAAATGCTGCGGCGTTGATTGCATTTGTAATAATTATCCAATAATATACATAATAATGTCACTCTACATAATGAGTACTTTATTTAAATTTTTTAGCTTCTACACCCATTTGTTCACATGTCATTTGCCTGATTCGACCTCCTCTCAGGACTGTGTGGGCGCTCAATCCACATTTCTCACTCTGCTGTGAGCTGCGTGGCTCCTTTTAGACCGGGACTCCTAACAGAATTTCTTAAATGCAGATCATTTGGCACAGCAGGAAAACAACAGGTGAAATTAGCATCAGTAATGGCTGCATTCCTTCCAGGGTGTTTCAGGACGCTGCTGCTGCTGCTGCGTTTGCTGGTCACTGGTCTGGTGTAATGGGATGTTTAAATGGAATGAAGCCATCATTATCGTTATTAATGACACCGGACCAGTGCTTTTTTTTTTTTTCCTGCTATGGTGATTCAAAATGCCTGGCCTATGTGGAGTTACATCAAGAAGTAATCGTTTTTTTGCTCTTAGAAATGAAATGTCGCATTCATAAATAATAATAAAGTGGTTATGTTTCAAACCCTTTCTCTCTTTTGGTTACAATCCTCCACCACCGCTCAGCAAAGATACACCTGTAGGAAATCAATTATGAGGTACAAAACAATAAGTATAAATAAATAACTACATGAATAAATGCAAAATAAATAAATTTTGATAATGAAAAATGCTATTTCTGTACTTTTACATTATTTATTTATACGTTGTTATTTTTTATCCTTCATTGGGGAAATGTGCAGCAAAAAAGTAAAAAAAAAAATGGTTTAAGGTGTTCCTGATAGTTTTACCTGAGGATGTGAATACTTCTTTCTCCATTGCTTCTTTGTTTAAATTGCAGCAGACTCTCCTGTGTCTCCCTGACTTCTGTTTTCCACTCAACCTTCACAGTTTCAATCCATTCAGAAGAAATACTTCAGATGTAATTAATCTTATTTAAAATATGCTCTGTGTTGCTTTTTTTTTTTCTCTTCTACAGAAAGACACACAAACTTGGATTCACCTCAATTTCTTTATTTCCTCTTCTTCATTACAAAAACATCACATCCGCAAATTGCCCGTATTTTATTATTAACAATTTTTTTCTGGGGGACGCAAACTCTGTATCAAATGGGAAGCTACTGCTCCTCCGACACATCTGACGCACACAGGCAAAACACGCTGGCGTAGTTAGTGATGATCCAAATGTCAGTGCTCCTGCCAGTGGTGTTTTACCATGAAACATGTTGACTCAGAACTTCAGTAAGGAGGTGAAATGGGCACTGAGCAACAACAAAGAGGAATGTACAAAAAAAAAAAAAGAAAAAAAAAGAAAAGAAAAAACACAAATGAACCCAAATTCCATCAAGAAAACCACAAATAAAAATCCCAGCTCACTTAGAAAACACTGGCATGTTGGACAGTAAGAAAACAAATCTCACAGGAAGATGAAGTGCAATGATCAGTAGCTTTACAGCCCTCAGTGAATCAGAGAATCTGTTTGTCCTCAGACACGCTGTCATGTCTCAATTTCTTCCGTTTGGCAACACAGACAAACTGCATGTTTAAACTGTTGATTGGACTCTTGAACTGCCATGCCATGTTTAAAGTCTGATTTTGTTGAATGACTCCTTGGAAACAAAAAGATGATCTTCGTCAGTGTCTTCTTTTAATTTTTTTCTTGCTCTTATTTTTTCTCAATTCTGTGGGAGAGAGGAGAGAGTGGATATTAGTTATCACCAACATGAGACGAATGAATGACTGAAAACTCTCCTGTCTTTATTTCACACCTGATCACTGACAAGTCATGTAAAGGGTTAATCCATGCATTGTAATGTGCAACCTTCCACAACAAACAGAATGTAATTTGGCAAGAGCAACAGACAGATGTCCCAGTTTCAGACAGCGCACACTTTGGTTCATGAACACAAAACATGTCACTCAAACGTGATGGTACAACCAGAACCATGAGTTTAACCACAATGGAGGGATTACCAAAGTGCTGCTATGGCTATGGTTGTAATGATCATGGGGGGGGGGAGTGATAAGGCAAACCAAGGGGGAGGGCAGCAAGTACACGTATGTGAACACTGGAGTTCAAATGAGTGAGCACCACACAGCCATGCACGCTGCCAGCCAGTATGGAAATGCACACTGTGGATGCCCTTACTTCAGCCTGGAAGCACGGCCGAGTCATTTGTTACAAAAGGGGGCTTTATCGTAGGCTCCTATACTTTGCCAACCTACTACTTTGCTCTGCGGCAATCCTGAAAGAGGAGTAAAGAGACAGCGAGGTGTGGACAGAGGGGTTAAAAAGAGAGAGACTGGCAGGAGAGAAGGAAGCAGAAAAAGTCCTGACTGAAAAAGAAAGACATTCGTGAAATCAGTTATTGCAATATCGTACTGGCTTAAAAGGGTTAAATGGGCTGTTGTAAGTGAATAATTACAGAGTGACGTTTTGAGTCAGTGGCACAAGCTACAAATTGCTCACTCTGGCCCTTGGAGGGCTCTACATATTGAGGGTGTGAAGAAATTGCCCACTCAGATGATCACTAGTGCAGATTTTGCCGCCGCGCTTCTCTCCTGGTCCGAGTAGGCACGAGATCTCCTCGCATTGAGCCTGGCATTGAAATCAGCCTCTGGGGACCAACTGAGGGGCTACAGATATAGAACAGGCACTTTCCTCAGGTTTGGAGCTAAGAACTACCGAGAGGCCTCAAAAGACCCGAGTCCTCGTCGTCTGAAAGGGGCTAGGTTTTCTCTCTGGGATAAAGGACCCTCTAGGAACCATTTGTGCCAGGCACCATCAGGAGACATACCTCTTGACTGCTTTCTGGGCCAGCATGCGGTTCCCGGCGAGGAAAGTTACACCGCCAATAATCGCCAGGTACTTCAGAGTCTGGAACATGTTCAGGTGGGTCCAGTAGACGTACATCAGGCCCAGCATGGCTGAAATGAAAAAACAGCCGACTTGAACAGAAGACTTGAACATCAGCATCCAAACAAAATAGCTGCTGGGTAAGAACACCATCTTGAATATGCTATCATATTAACAATAGCTACTATATGTCAGTGGTTCACCAAGTGGATGCAGCAGCACCTTGAAACTGGTCAAGATTTATTTCCATTTTTTCTTGTAAAAACATTTTTAATAATGTTTTGCCACAGTAAATAAAACCAAGGCACCATTTACATTAAACACATTTTATATTGTGTTTTCAGAGCTGTAAAAACACAGTAAACAACAAAATCAAACAAATCACAAATCATTTCAAAAGGCCAGTTTGCTGTTAGGGCCACGGCTTCCATGCAGAGTTTATACGTGGAATTTCATTTCACTCCATTATGATTGTGTACATTGTCACCCACAGTCTTTTTCTGCGATTCACTTTTCATCTTGAACAACAACAGATGAATTGCGGATGTAAGAGGCTGAAGAACAGCTGTATCTGTGATGAACATTTCATTTTAAAGACGGGACTAACCTGCGTGTCCCACATGGAACAGAATGGTGCTGGGAGAGAAGCTGAAGTTGGAGATGTTGGCTCCGAGCTTAAACCACTAAAGAGGAGAGGGGGAATAAAAGACAATGTGATTTTCATCCCCTTCAAGAGCTGCAAACAAAAGAGCTGAAAAATTGTTTACAGCCTCGCACACAATGCACTGAACCACTGTAACAATAACTATTACTCAGCACTGCAAATGCCAGGGAAAAAATACCTCATAGCTTTTGTGATTTCAAATTAAAATAAGCATAATATTCATGCAGTGCTGGAGCCTCATTCACTGTGTATGAAGCCTTCCTGCTGAAGAGCTTTTCTGGAAAATAAAAACTAGACCACACTGTGTATACAACAACAATAACAAAGCTGAATGCTCTATTAAAAAATTGTTGATTAATAATGGATGTAGGTTGGCTTTTAGTTGTGCCCTTAAATAGGATAAATGATTTACATGTTGCTCTGCAGTTTAGCCACAGCAAATATAAAAATCAGAAAAACAGGAAGCATTTTGTTCCAAAGTTTGTAATATTACCAGGATGAGCAGAAGCAGGAAGGGAGACAGGATGAGTGCCGTGAAGGTGTTGGACACCACAGTGGGAGGCTTCTTCTCTGGTTCCCTGAATAAGTGCTGCAGAGACAGAGAGATTTTTTAACTATTTATTACTATTTTATTTCCTGTTGTCATGCAGTAAATCAGATCCAAATAATGACCAAGTTATATTACCTGGATCTCTGGTTTGGGTACATAAAGAGTCTTGGGCTGAATGGTAGCTGGGGCCTCTTCATCCACAAACTTCAGGACAACGTCAGCCTTTCAAAACAATTTCAGAGGTTCAGTATTGACTTCTCATCGTCTGGTCATTCAGTAAATAATCCTCATTACCACCGTCAAGTCTGAACAGATACTCACCACATTCCACAAGATGGGATTCTCCAAGGTAGCGTCCCCAACAATTAGGTAGAGGGAATAGGTCCCGGAGATGGAGTCAAACTCTGATTTCCGCTCTGCTGTGTCCAACTCAAACTTGTACAGATTCTTGCTGTCGGGTTCAGCCACAAACACGACCTCTTGGCCAGTTTTCTGATTGTGCAGCCGGACAAAAGTCTGTGACAGAGAATGTGAAAAGGTCTTAATCTTAGGAAAACGTTGAGAGCTCCATTTTTTGCTAAACAGTCAAAGTGGCTGGTTGTTTTCATGATTGCTTTGACTAACCAGTTGTATAATATAATGGTTGGATGGTCACAACAGTGATTATGAAAGCAGATGAAGTCAGCATCAACGGACAGACTCTGATTACATACCTGGTGAGGGGTAAGCTCCACTCCGGTGTTGACGTCAACCAGCTGGAAGGACATGGCAAAGTTCTGGTGGCTGTCTGCGGTGAAGGAGCTCTTGGCTTTGGAAGGATAGTCCACTCTGTGTCATTTAAAAAAAGAGGGGCAAAGCATTCAGTATTCCTCTGTCATGCCACTGAGTTTCAGCGAGAGGGAATTCACTCGTCAAAGTTGTTTTCTAACCTGGTGGTCTTTGTGCCGATGCTCTGGTCCTTATCCACCACTGAGAGGTCCATGTTAGTAACAGCCACCTCAGTGGACACCTTTACTTTAAGCTGCAGGAGGACAGAATCAGAACACGAGTCAGTGTATATGAGCACATTATCCTTTTGCATCACTTTGTCATATCAAGGAGACCAAATAGATTTTAAGGGTGGCTCCAGATTCTCTTTCTATCTATCTATAAAGTAGTGGAAAAAATGATTATTGCATATGAGTATGGATATAGTGCAATAAAGAAGTATAACGCTGTCATCCTTCATGGTTCTTACAAGCCTTGTTGTATTATTTTTGTTTAAACTTGTTTTTACTGTGTTGCCAGGTTGTGAAAGACAAATGTCCATTTTATGCATATCTAATGGACCATAAAGTTTTATCTTCTTATCTTCTATATGTTATCTGTATTATCACATTTACATGCTCCTTCCATACTGAGTATATTCAGTCAATTATATGTGTAATGACTGGGTATCGCTTTAAGAACAAATTCTTTTGAATTACTTTTATAAGAAACGGTTGTAGACTTGAGATGGCCTTAATGAGAGCGCTCACCTCACCTTTATTACGTTTTTCTCTCTCCATTTAATTGTACTGCCGTTTATTTGGTCTTGGGTGAGACTTCTAGCCATTTTCTCTATTTCCAGTGAAAACTAAAAATGTAACCCTTGACATAAAGATAAAGATAAAAAACATATGGGTGTTGTATATGTTCTGCCCCCGGCGGCCTGTTCTGTTATTCTGTTCTCTATGTTTATTTTGCTATTAAAAAAACAATAAAACTCAAGTGAGTGAGTCCAAGTTGAGGTGCTTGCAAGAAACTTATTTCAGCAATAATGGCTTGAAGTCCCTTGTATGGGTCAAGCTCAACAAACGCTAAATAAGACATTTACTATAATGCAGGGCTTTAAAAGTTCCTCCAGAGCCATGGAATGACATTACACAACTGTGTAACCTTCATGTGTAAAATGTGTGAATTGGCCCTTTAATTTAAATAAATGACTATGTAACCTGCACATAACTGGCAAGTAATTATAATTACGTACTGCCTTTTCAAGTTAAATATAATAACTAAGTACAAAATCACCTCGACGTGATTGGCAACCAGTCGGCTATCCCCAGTCACTGCAATGGTAAACTGGTAATATCCACTGGCGGGCTGGTTGGACATGAAGTTCAGTTCAAAGACGCCGCTGAAAAGCAGGAAAAAAAAGAACGATACAGTGCATGTTAATTAATAAACAAATAAAGAAGGAGAATCTTGTAAAGAAATGCATATATATCTGCCAGCTGTTGGGACCATTTTAAAGTAATGAGGAGCCTGAGAGAATAATGTAAAGCTAACACTCATCTCTCTAACAGTACATACTCATTAAGTGTGAAGGGTACTTGGCTGAGGATGATGCTCTTGGAGGCCACAGCATACGCAGACTCCACCAGCACATTGGCTGAGGCCAGAGGTTGAGACATGACATCAGTAACAAGGAGCTGTGAATCCAACAGTGAGACGGTGTCACTACATGATGATTAAAAACCAGACAGAGGACTGTAGCCAGCTTGATATCCAGCATCTGTACCTGCAGGGTCGGCTGGCTGTGGGACACTGTGGCTGGGCCCTGAGCACTGACAATGACCGGCACGTGGAAGCGGTTGCTAGAGAGAGCGGCGGCAGCACTTGCCACACTGAAGGCCTCGGCCAAAGAATCCCAGGATTTCTTGCTGAAGATGGAATTCACCAGCTGGATGACCTGGTCCTGTGGGGTGGGGGGGGTGAGTGAGTTGGGGGGGGGGGGGGGCAAATCTTCAATCAGTTTCACAGGAGAAAACAAGAAGAAATTACAAAATCTGAAATAACACCTGAAGGAGAGATATCATACCTCCTTGAGAGGAGGCTCCATGTCCACATGATCTGACAGGGAATAAGCAGCAGTCACAAACATAGCAGTTGCCTCGAGTCCCTCTTCAAACTGAAGGTAGATGCCACCGAGGTCATCCAAACGAGCTGTCAGATCCTGAGAGGAAAAAGCATAAATATCTTAAAATCGAATTCTGCTAAGAAAAAACAAAAAAAAAACAACAACAACAACCAAAAAATACAACAAAACAACAACCACACTGTGCATTAGAGTTCAGTGTGTCTTGCTGTGAGTCAAAGAACAGTGACACAGCACCACCTGTTGGAAGTTAAAGTGCTCACCTCGATTTCCTCCAGTATTCCTCCGAGCTCTGCCTGCTGGGAGAGGCGAGCTGCTGTTTGCAGAGCTAAGGTGATACTGTCCAAAGAGAACATACGTTTGTTGTGAAGTAATTATTCAAATAATTTGTTCATGAGCTTTCTCTAAACACTCTAAACAGTATGTAACTGCAGCACAACTAACACTTTACTTACGCCATAACATTGTCCTCCTTGTTGATGCGAGCTGTCAGGGCACCTACAACTTCCTGAGATGCCAGAGGAAGTCCCAGAGAGTTGAGTGCGCTCACGGCTCGATGGATCTGTGTCATGGTTGAGTCTTCACTAACTGCTGCCAGGAGGATGTCGCGGGTTTCATTGGACACAGGGATCTATGGAGTGAACAAAAATCTCATGTCAACTGTTCAGTACTTTGGTGTTTGAATTATAATACAGCCTTAACCACTTTTTCACATCAATGTACAGGCCAAACCAATTATGTTTTACAATTATTTTACCATCATTATAACTATATGACGGAATAAGAATTACCAATCATGCAGATTCAAAATGCTCAAAGAATTATTATAAGACAAATATGATGAGATTGTTGTAAATTCTTTTTCTATATTGTCCAGTTGCACCACACATTTATCTACTCCAAACTATGTTTTTAATGATAAAAATAATGGCAGTAGGACAATTTAGATAATATTTCCATACCTCACATCCTGAAATGGCCTGACTGGTCTCAGCAGCAAAGAAGACAGAGTCAACACTAGTGGGATCAAGCTGGGATTTGAGGAACTGGCATACTTGCTACAAAGAGAAATACATTTAACAAAGCATTAAATGTATGTGTAGATCATTGAATTATTAATAGAGTCCAGCCTTCTATGTCAGGATTAATAACCATAAGGGATTGATATTTCTTACATTGTGATCTGAAACGGCCGCTCCAAGCTTGGTAAGACCCACAACAGAATAGTACGCGGACTCCAGGTCAGTGAACTGTTGGCTCAGGAGGTTCTGCAGTCGGGCCACATCAGGCAGGGAGAGGTGGTGCGCCGGTGTCAGTGCCTGAGCTCCAGCAAGAGCCAGGCTGAGGAGGAAGCACCCGAACAGCCCTGCGGACACAGAGCGGGGAAAAGGTTACCTATCGGCTGGTCCAAACATGTATTTATACATTACCGCCGAGGAGAGGAAACATAAAACATTTTTATAAAACATTATCTTTGGTGGCGATATGTATTCATTCATTGAAATTACGCTCTCTTTTTCATTGCAGGGTTAGCTACGAGGCGAGCAAGCTAACATCAGTAGGAAGCAGCACACTGCATGCACCGGGCGGCATTTTTGTCCCACTACTTAGACTGGTAGTTCAGTAACTACATACACAACGTAATTAAAACGAAAAACATACATATCTAACAATATATTCGGAATTAATGAATTAATTCACTTACTAGACCGGTCCATGTCTTGCAGTCTAATGCAGCGTCACCAAAACCGACGATTTCTTCCGGTGTCTCAGACAGTGATCTGTCACCAGAGGTATAATATCCGGTGGTACATTTTACATTTCAAAATAAAAGCACAAGACAATGGTTTTTTTTCAAAGTACACGTAGAAAAAAGTTAGGATATAACATGTAATTTCATTTCATTCATTTATCAGTTATTGTGTTAATTGTTACGCTATGTGATAAACTGGTGTATTCATAATGCAAACCATGCAGGATCTAACATATTCGTGATAACTTGTGATTATGTAAAAACCTGATACTCACCTGATATTTATACATAGGCTGAATGTGCCCAAAAATATAAACATAATCTTCCATGTATAGGTATTTTGCGAATTAATTTTTCTTCTGTCGTTTACCAATATTAAAACAGCAGATACATGGAAAATCAAAAGCTGAAATTAGTCTTTCCTTTTGAGAAACTGTACAAAATTCTATCTATCAACCAATCTTGTTATTCCTCGATTACCTGCATTGAGCACATACTGTACGTCCATTTAGCGTAACTGTTTTAAACATCAATCTGCTTTATTTGGACCTATTGTAAAACCACAAATGACAGGTTTACATGACACATCAGGACATAGCCGCATAATCAGGAGGAAACTGTACTGGAAATAGTATTTGTGTTTTATTAAATTTCTTAACAAAATGTTGTGTGTTGAAGTAAAACATACAACACAAAATATTTACAAGCAGTGCCAAATAACATACCATTACCACCAAAGGCTGGTATAGCTTCTATACCCCCATTACATCTCAACTAGAATATTGAATATTGCATAAAAGTCACCAAGTCATTAAGTCACCTTGATGTGTGCTATAGTCACTATTACATTTTTAGCAGATGTCAAATTTTCATCAAATGAGGTCCTGACCTGACCTTTAATGTGTATTGAGATCTATATCATAAATCTATACATACGCTAAACAGATCTCATGACAAGACAATGTTCACTTAACATTTTCAACAGATCACACATCTCTAAATGTATTACTGATCACCCTGTCTAAATTTACTCCACAATCAAAACTACAGTATGTTATATAACAAATATAGATATGTAGGTTCAACCTGAGTGTTTGTACTCTTCACAATTCAATTTTAAAACACTGTTAAATTACAGACACATTATGCAATGTAAAACCCATGTCTTTTCAGATAGCAAGAGTACATAGCCGTGATTTTTCAATTTTACATTCATTGTTCTTTTCAAACATGTTTAAGTGACCATACAATGAAACAGGATTCGTAACGTCAAGCCTTGCACGAGGTCATTGGACTAAATCTAAAAGCACCATTCTCTCTCAAATTATTGACAGAGCTACATACTGTAAAGGTTTTGATTGCTAATGACTTGTTCACAAAACTGTGCTAAACATACATGACATGTACTTTCCTTCAACATTACTACAGCAAAAAAAGGCAGGGACAAACAGCACCAGCAACATTGTGTTGCGTATGTGTAAGATGTTGGCGAGAAGATGAGCGAAGTCTCAGGACAGAATCAGAGCCCGGTTGGGTGCGTGGGATTTTAGTGCACGAAGGTAGCGTCTGGCTTTCTCTGTCATTATGAGCTGGTCTTTAGTTTGTCCACATACAACCGTCTCCCATTCTTTTGACATCTGAAGACAGACAAAACATGTTGCAGTAGAATTAGGTCAAAGTAAAAAAAAAGCTATGTAACACATTCCTTTCATTTAAGGTGAAAAATGGAGCTTACTGGAACTGGGGGCACCGTGCTGGGAAATATGGCACTGTCACTAGGTCCCAAAAGGAAGCCCTGATCCAAAATATTGTCATGCCGCTTGCTGCAAAATGACGTGGAGTTCAGAGAAACTATCATAGGTTCTTCCTGTGGTCAGAAAAGGAAGACAAAAAGCCAGGAATTAGACGGCATCAAATCTACAAACAGGCTAACAACACATTCACAACACTTTTTACCTTGATGCTGTGTTTAGCTTCAGTCTTGAAGGATTTGCGTTTGGATGTCGGCATCACCTGACAGTCCATGACATCCAGGGCCAACGATTTCCTCACTTTCTTCATGGGAGGGCGATGCTGAGAATAAGAAAAAAAAAAAAAACACCAAGATCTAAGCAAATAGCTTCAGCAAGAACAATGATGAAGTACAATAAGTCTGAAACAAATGCAACAGTCAAAAATGAAAGCAGGTCAGCACTGAGATGTTCATGTACTGTTTCATTATTAGGGTTTTGGTGTGGAAACTAAACAATACATCAATACACAATCATCAAGCACTTACTTAGAAACACATGTGCACCTGCTTATTCATGTTAGTATCCAATCAGCCAATCATGTGGCAGCAGTGCAGCACATAAAATCATACAGATAGAGCTCAGGAACTTCAGTTAATGTTCACATCAAACATCAGAATGACATCAGAAGACTCTGACCGTGGTGTGATTGTTGGTACCAGACAGACTGGTTTGTGTATTTCTCTCCTGAGATGTTCATACACAATAGTCTCTAGACTGTATGGAGCCAAAAACACAACAAGCATCTGGTGGGCGGCAGTTCTGCAGACAGAGAATGGCCTGACTGGTTGGAGCTGACAGAAAAGGCTATGGTCCAACAGGTCGAACCATAAGGTGAAGCAGCAGAAGACCATGTCAGGTTCCACTCCTGTCAGCCAAGAACATAAATCTGAGGCTGCAGTGGACACAGGCTGAACTAAATTGGACAGCTGATGGCCTGGTCTGATGAACTTCAGTTTCCGCTCAGGCAGCAGATAGTCGGGTCAGGGTTTGGTGTCAACAGCATGAATTCATGAACCCAACCTGCTTTGAGTCAACAGTCCAGGCTGGTGGTGTAATGGTGTGGGAAATGTTTTCTTGGCACACTTGATACCAATCAATCATTGTTTGTAATGCTGCAGCCTAAAGCCTACGATAACACACCATATGTCACAGACCAAAAATCCAGTAGAACACCTTTGGGATGTGGTAGAACAGGAGATTGGCAGTAAGAATGCGCAGCTGACAAAACTGCAGAAAATGTGACACAATAATGTCAACATGGAGCTGGATATCAAAGGAATGTTTCCAACATCCTGTGGAACACATGCAATGAAGAACTGAGGCTGTTTGGAGAGCAAAGGAAGATCTTACTCAGTATTAGTATGGTGTTCCTAATAAAGTGCTCAGCAAATGTATTAGCTTAGAGCATTCTTAAATGGCAGTGGCAGTAGCAGCCTAGAAATATCTGGTTGGGGGGGATTGAAATGAACAAGAGTTTTCACACCGAGTTGCTCCTGTGCAGCTGCCTGCTGACCAACAATGGAAGCCTGTCAATGTAAAGCATCACTCCAAGGTGTGAATTTGTCAACACGAAGCAGTGTGGAACTAAACAAACAGCATGTACTCAATGTTCCCAAGCAGGCAAACACATACACTCAAGTTCCAACACGTAGGCTACTTGATCACACGTTCCTTGTTCTTTATTATTTTGTATTCCAACACTAGGTTGTGCTTTACACCAAATTCAAATTCACATCCATCCATCCATTATCCTAAAGGAGTTTTAAATCCATTATGTACTAAAAAACTTGTGCTCACTATAAAATCCTCCATGATTTTGACAAAGTTCAACTGTGATTAATTCGTTAGCATTCAAAAAACTACAGCTCCCATCAAGTTTTTCCATTGTGGCACCGTGCACATCATACAAACGGTCATCCTTCGGTCATCCATCCATTTTTCACTATAATCTATGCTGTGTAAAACACATCTTTTCCATTAAGCCCTCCTTGTCCACTCTAATGAATCACCTCTCAGCTGGCCTCTGATGTGTTGCTTGAATTATTACAAATGTCAGTGTAATACTGAGCTACTTTTTCTTACTTCCAATTTCTCTGTGGCTCTCCATGATCCAACCCTTAGTATGTGTAAATGTTATGGTATGTCTTTACCAGGGGTTAAGGGGTTAAAATCCTGTAGGTGTAAAGTATTAAAGTTGACACATAGTTACCATTGTTTTGCGCCTTTGCTCAGGCGGAGTCGAACGTACAACAACCAAGTCAATTCCGGCGTCTCTCAGGATGACCTCGTTTATGTCGTCTTCGAGGTTAGGCGTCTGAGGCTAAGGCAGTGAAGCAGAAAATAGCGTGAATGCAGCGTTGGTGAAAGTGAACTCACTGAAAATCACAGACAGGTACTCACCAGAGGCTGTAGAGGGCCGTACTTCTCCATGGCATTTTTGAACGGCGTTGGAGTTCGTGGGGTCGTACAGAGCTCAGACTTGTGGTTGGGTGTCACAAATCTACATGGAAACGAAATGTGAGCATTGAGACTCAAAATCAAAATATATATACCAACCAAGCGCTAAACATCAGACTTGGGTTAGAGAGCACATACATTGAGTTTTCCTTCTGAGTGAGGGGGGTCTTATCTCGCTGTAGCGGTGTAGTAACGATGGCTTTCTGGCTGCACACAGGTGTGGACGTGAGGGACGGGTTCTCCAGGTCGTGAGTGTCCTGCTTGGTCCACATGTTGAGGAACTGAAACAACATGTTAGTTATTAGACCACTTCATATGACATTAGAAGCAGCATCACAGTCAGTTCTACAGTATTAAAGCTTACGAGCTTACTTGAGATGGAGAAAAGGGCAAAATTTTAACAGGAGTGCTCTTGGGAGTCATGGAGTTATTTCCATCAGGAGACAAGGCGATGCGTCTCCGGCCTCGGCGGTTCAGTATGGAGGGCGGCGTGACCCCACCAGGAGAGATGGGGATGAGTTCCCCCTTGCTGCCTTTGCTCAACTCCTGCAAGGCACTGCCCTCCAGACGAAACTGGTGGCGCTCTGGGCTGGGACTCTCCTCGGGCAGGTCAAAGGCTGCTAGGTTGCACCAGCCATCCAGGTCCTGATAGCAGAAGAGACGTGTTATTTTATACATCCATATTATGCATACACAATATAGTTTACTTCATACGTCCATTCACTGCTCTCAAATGGTCTAAACAGACAAATAAATGTAGAGCAATGTTGTACAAGAGGCCTACTTCTGTTTTATAACATAAATATACCAAAATAAATATATCAATCACAAAAACAGCACAAACAATGAAGAAATCAGCATGTATTTAAACTCAGTAACACCATTTGTCACCAGTAGATCAAAGCAGTCACTACAAACCAGGCTAAAGGAGGGGTTATCGCATACATATTTAAACTATACGCAATGCTGTTGCAAGTGTGACTGTCCCTTTTAAAAAGCCTGTTCAAGGTGGGAATGTTGCGCCTTTATTCCACATAGCTGTTCTACATAACAGATTATGAACACAGAATGTAGGGCATTGCTGCTCTGCCTTCATGCCGGCAGCAGAAGTAATTACAGAGTCAGATTGACATCTGTGTACAAGGGAGAGCCAGTATGGAGGGACAGGTTACACGTCAGGCCGGCATGCTGCCTAAAACCACACAGCGCCAATAAGCCGGCTTGTTTGGTTCAGTGTTAAGAAGCAAAGGCGGCATAATGAGGCGTCTTCTTAATGGCAATATAGTGGGATCTCTGTATTGTACTGGGGACACTTACTCCATCCACCATGTCCAGCACTTCCTTCAGTCCTGGGCCATTAGGGGAGAGGAAGCCGGAGCTGTCCACCACCCAGCTGGTACAGTTCATTTCTCCTGACGTGTCTGCTTCAGTCTTAGGGCTTAAGCTGTCCTTTGGAGAGAGGGCAGCCCTTGATGGCCCTGCTTTGCTGGGGCTGGCTTTGACAGAGACTGAGACTGGCGTTTCCTGCAGCTGGTGGAAAAAACAGACATCTATAACAATACTGATGCTATAAACATAATTACTGTTGAGTAATGCAGATATTCTTTCAGTAAACTTTATATATAACAAATCAGCTGACAGAGATTTAAGTATTCAAAACCATCCTGTATTAAAAGTCTGTTATTTTTCAAATCAGCGCAATAGGTCACTTACTGAAGGGTGCAGTTTCTGCTCTGGGTCCTTGTCTGCACCATCTTGAGAGCAACTAGACATCTGTGTAATCAGAAAACTGAATTTTCAGTACAGTTCATTGGGTTTAATACTAATTTCATGTCAAGACTGCTTTCAACATCAAGGAAAGATAGCCCACCTGTACATCTTTATTCACACGGGCCAGCAGTTCTTCAAGTTCATCTGGCTTAAAGACCTCCCCGGCATAGAAGCCCATCTCCAACTTGCGTTTGATGGTGGAATTCCAGTGATTCTTCACGGCGTTGTCCGTTCTGTGAATAAATGTTATAACATGAATCCTATAGAGGAGGCAAAGCATTATTTCCACACCTGAAACCACATCAACAATGTAATCTCCTGAGCTGAGCAATTTCCACCTCCTGATTGATTCTTTACCTTCCAGGGAGCAGCTTGGCAATCTCGGCCCAGCGGTTTCCAAGCAGGCAGTGAGCTTTGTAAATGATGAGATCCTCCTCAGCTGTCCATGATGACTTCTTAACGCTGGGATTGAGGTGGTTGTGCCAGCGCTCTCTGCACTGCTTCCCCAGTCTGCCTTTCAGATGCTTGGCTACCATCGCCCACTGTTTGTTGCCGTAGAGATTTACAAGCTCTATAACCTGAGGAATGAGGGATATGCATCTGATTTACAACTCATTCTCATGAATCACATTGCATAAACTGTTCTCAGTGAATCATATGCCAAACCCCTGCACTGCTGGTTATCGAGTCACCTACCTTTTCATCCTCCTCCTTGGTCCAAGGACCCTTAACCAATTCTGGATCCAACACCTTAAACCAACGGTGCTGACACTGGTGTTCAGTGTGATTCTGAGCAAAAGAAAACAAGTGTCAGACTCAATAGTATCTCTGTTGACATCACATAGTCAAGGGGGCCCCATGTTTAATACAAACAACAGAAAAGTTGATCAAACTCACTGGTATGTAGCCGGCAATATATTTCCAATCATTTGGTCCCAGTTTTTGAACCAAAGCCTTGAGCTTGTCATCCTGTAAGCACAAACAAATTGGCACGTTTACCACTGTCCTACAGAGTCATTATTTACTTTGAGTCAAGTCAACAACAACATGCAAATCGCTGGGACAAGTCGTCACAATCACCTCCTCTTGTGTCCATTTCACCTTCACTTTGCCCCCGTCTCTCTGCTCTGCCACATCAGAATCAGTGTCTTGAAGCATGGCCTCCTCTCCATCCTCACTGAGAAACAAACCGCAGGGATAAATAAAGCTGACAGTCAAAGTAGAAACTAGCCACTGGCCCGCCCTTGTGGTGTGACGAGGACAACTTGATTATCAGGTTTATATTTAGGTTGGCTGACTTTATCACACGCATAGACTACTGCTGAGCAAAGCTGAAAGGTGAGCAAAGTGTTAGACAGATTCATTGGATTAATGGCAATGTGGCTGGCGTCAAAATAAATGCTAAACCCTGTTTATAGTGACTGTCCTGAAAAGGGCGGCACAGACCAGAGTCCGTGACCTACTCAAAAGTTACAAATTAAGGCCAAACAGCAAACCATTTGCCTAAATAACCTAGCCTTTAAGACTTTAAGATGTTAAATGGTAACGTTAAACCCGGCTGTGGCAAAATAAGTACTGCTAAGTCTAAAGTTAATTTAGAAAACAAAGATGAACATCTTACCCGCGCGGCCACCAAGACATTTCCCTCGTTTCTGTTGTTTACGGTGCGACGGTAATATGTCCTGCCACCGTTGCACGTCATGTGCGTGTATATACGTTGTTATATCGTTGTATTCCGCGTGTTTGATGTCTTTATAAACCGGTCAGCGGTAGCGATGGAGGCTCGTTGTTGCTGTTTCGAATGGCAATGTTACAGCCTTTGACCAGCTGGAGCGGAGCGCCCGGATTCTCCGCGCTCCTGGATTTCTATCTCGCGCCCTTCTCTATCGTAGAAACCGGATAGTGACGTAGCTGCGCAGTAGTTGTGCGCGCACGGTCGAGCAAACTTCCGCTGAGGGCCTTCAAAATAATCTTTAAAAGGTAACAAACTAATTGAACGGGTTTCTGCCATTATATTACTCCCACTATGAAATGGGGTCGCATATACTTTTACAATGTAGTGACAATCTAAGTCCTATGTACTGTCATGTATAAACAGACCTCTGATTATTAACTAAAAATGAGGAAATGGAAAATATTTAAAAACGACAAACAAAACAGATGGAATAATTTATTATTATTAAAAAAAACATTTTTCAAACAACATTGTGGATTATAATCAAAAAATCATAGCTACTTAACATGTCTAACATCTAATATGTCTAACTATTTCATATTGATCCACAGAGAAACACATATTTTGTTCCCGGAAAATATTTATGTGTGTTTATTACCATCTTGGCTTTGAATTGCAAGACTGGAAAAACTTTCTCTTTGTTTTGGGAGCTGTGTGAGATCAATTGTGTTTACTATAATTTCAACAGTGTCAGCAACAAACATTCTGTTGGCCAACTTTTCTTATTTACTTTTTGTTGTTAAATTCCAAATAAACAAAGGCCATGACTTTTTTTGTTTATTGCAGAAAATTTAACTTTACAAAAAGGCAATGATTCCTGACAATAATAAAATTTCTATAAAGTATAATGATTAGAAAGTACAGTACAGACAGTACAGTAGACAGTAAAACAATTAGATAGAGGCGATGAAAAAAAACCCCAAAAAAACATAACTTAAATTAAGCAGAGAAAAACATAAAAGCCATTCATGGTCCAATATGCAATTTAAACAAGAACACAGAGAAAAGACTTAAGGAGACACATCATGTACCGTAAAATTTTGAAATTAACAATATTTTTATATTCATAGATTGATTTTGAACTGAGTAAAAAGTAGTAGATGTAGGCTTACTTTAACAGTTGTTTAAGAAGTAACTGAACTTATATATAAATAATATGTACAAAAACATTACACTTATTTTTAGGTTTTAAAACATGTCCGGAGGGATCTTAAAATATAAAAAATATTTGAACAGTCAGGTCATCAGTTCTTTTTATTTTCATATTGGCTAAATAACACTCACAATTTTTATTTATTACTATTTTTATTTATTAACACAAGTACACAAACATGCATGTGTAAATAAAACGAGAAAATGTTAATTAAAAAAAAACCTGATTGCTTGTTGCATAGCAAACAGCCGCCCCTCCCACATAATGAAAATAAATTTGAACATAAAAAAATATATGAAAAAAAAGGATCACAGCTAAAATGTGCACCTGATCTGATTGAGAGGTGCTCCACCCCCTTCAGACTGATGACTTGCTCAGCCTCCAGCTGGGTCAATTAACATGCTGCTGCAACACTTTAAAACCCACCTGCAAGTCGGTTGACACTCAAGTCCAGGGAAACAATGGAGAAAGCTTTTGTCATTAAAGGTAGGAAAACTGGTTTTATTCTGAAAATAGGTTGATGATGATTCGTTTAAGTCTGACCAGATGACCTAATTCCAAGTGTTATCTAATATTTTACATCCTAGATATGAACAGCTTTGAGTGTTCGTCTCTATCAGAGCTTGACAGGAGGTTTTTGGGGGAACAGAGTTTGCTGTCTGCTTTGTCGCTGGAACAACTTTCCTCATCAAGAGTGTCAAATGAGACAGCAGCTGATGGATCCGATGCCAGGCCATGCAACCTGGCTTTTCTCTGTCTACCATCAGATCCCATTTCCTCCCCTCAGGTTATCTCAACGAACAGCTTGAACAATCCAGAGACTGACAATTGTCACATGACTGTTCCTTCACAAGGAAAGTCCTCTACTCCCTACATGTTCCTCCTAAAGCAAAAAAAGGCTGCTTGTTCTGACCAGTCGTTCAGTGATTCCACCACCTTTCAAATGTTATGGGATGTGTCTTTGATTAAATCTGAGAGCAACAGCCCCAAACCCTACACTGAGTCCAACACTCTGGAGTCAACATGGAGTCCAAAACCCCAGTCTACAAAATTTTCACTAGCTGAAGTTTCTCCCCAATATGGCCAAGGATTTCTCTTCACACAAACTGAACATGGAGTTAAGTCACAGGTTTGGAAGGATAAATGCACATGATTGTGTCTGCCTCTGCACCCACCATGCACCAAAGTGGATTAAAACATAGGATGACAATATAAAGGTAAGATGCTCTGTTCAGTTTTTAATACTGATCATTGAATGCCATGGCAACATTGCAAATCCATGCTGTGGCTCTTCAATTTGTTTCTTTTTACAGGATCCATGTGTGAGGACTCATGCAGAGAGCTCAGTTGCCTGTTTACAATGTTTTTAAAGATTTGAATATTTAAATAAATGTCAATGACTTTATTTGCATAAGTATCTTTACAATATTACTTTTTTCCACAATAAAATACAAAAGCGGTATAAAAGACTAATGAATTCATATACAGTTTCTGAACACAAGTATCCTGTTGATACTGCCAACTACTGTAGCAGTTGCTTTATCTCCATTACTAGAATATACACACCTGTTTGATTATGATATAGCATATTGAAAAGACAGAGTTGAAAGTTTTTAAGTTTCTTGAATCCAATCACAATGGCGTGAATTGTGCCTCAGTGTCGATGTCATGCTCCTGTAAGTGGGATGTTCACTTTTAGACAAGTCCTTGAATGCATAATAGTTAGTTGTAGGAGATTTTAAGAGCACTCACCTGATTGAGTTTCTTGAACTCTACAACCTGGAAGAAAATGTGTTCCAAGATGTGCTTGGCGTCCCTCTGATCCTTATCCAACTTTGGAGTCACGCCCAGAATTTCACCACATTTCCGCACATAGAATTCGAGATCGTCGTCTGTACCTGTGAAATGAGAACACATTGTACAATTTTACTTCACATTTTAAATCTAAGCAGTTAATTTTACTGAATAACTACTGAACTTACATTTATTAGTGAGCTGTGCTAGGCGCACTTTCTCAGAAGAGAATGTTTCATCTAGATCAAACAGATCCAGCATGGGTGGAGGTAAATCACTTAAGGCAGGTGGAAAGACCTTAATTTAAAAAAACAAAAAAAAACATAACAGCTCTTGGGCTCTAAGATGCATATGACAAGAAGTGAATGACATATGGAAACATTGGAACAGGAATGAAACTTACAGCAGGTTGAAGCTGAGGCAGCGGGGTCTCAAACTGTGGTGTGATCAGCTGCAGTGGTTCGTCTTTGACATTAAGCTGCTTGTAAGCACTGCAGGAAGCATTTTTTTTTTTTTTTTTTTTTTTTTTTTTCAAAGCTATGTAGAAAAACAAAGCTGTAATGTAGGGATGTCGTGTGGTATATTTTGCATTCTCACCTGATGACTTGAGGTAAAGTGTCGGTTGACAAATTGAACAAAGACATATCAAAGAGGGAGGTGAAGTCCCTGGGGTTTTCGTCACCCTCTTGTAAGCATACTCTGAGCTGTTCTGACAAGCACCCTGTGTCTGGCAACATGGTGTAATCTGTTATCTAAGGGATGAAAGGGCAAGATGGACATTAGCTAATTTACAAGACAATATTAGTGATGCCATTCTCCTGTCACGTACACTTCCTTACCTCTGGGTCCTCTGCATCAATCTGGTTCAGCTGAATATTATCAGTCATGAGCCACTGGAGCACGACATCCTGGAATGAAAAAGTACAACAGACTGTTGTGCACAAAAACTGATGCTCAACAAATTCCACAGGAGAGCAGACCACATCTCTACCATTCAATGTGTTAAACAAATCTTTAAATGTCAACTTGACTCACCATGATTTTACTGTTTTCTTCTTTGTCTATGTACTGGTCACTGAACATGTGACAGGAACCCAGCACAACCAGTTTGCCTGCCTCCTTCATAAGACACGAGATGTCTTTCAACATCACCTCACAAGTATAGATTTATAAATATTACATGTGCTGGGAACGAGTATGAAAATTACTTAGTGCTTCTGACCTTTCCTTGATAGAAGGCCAGGACAGGCCTGTTGAGGGGGAAGCAGACTGAGCCAGTTGAAAGAACGGCCACAGCAGGCTTCATCACACTCAACGTGGCACCATATGGGTACACAAATGTGAGAGCCCTACACAAATAGATAAAAATGCTTGCATTCAAAACCATGTTGCGAATCCTAGCATTAAATAGTGCACTCAATGTAGGAGATATGAATATAAAGGCAAAAACATTTACTGGGCATTATTTCCAACATTTTCATCTTCAATCATTCCTGTGACCACTTTGCCAGCAGCCCGACTGATCTCTCTGTACAAGAAAGAGGAAGAAATCCCTTACTTAGATGTGCATCAGCTTTATAGACAAATTCATTTTAGAATAGTACAATTATTACAAGTACATTTGAATAGGTTCTTTAGGTTACAAACACTCTGGGATTTATTATAAATATGTTGGTATGAGAAAAAATTATACTGCAACCACAAACCTGTTCAATACACCATTGGACACGAGTGCCTCCTTAGGATGAAAGTATTTGTAATACACATTCCTCACAACAGCATCTGCAGCAGTGATAAAAAGAAAATGTTTCAATAAAAATACCTTTAACTGATTATGATGATCAGTTAGATGATGTTAACTGTCAATATGCACCATTGTTAACCATTATTCCAAACTCCTCCAGGAGAAAGTTGATGTTGGTGTCATATTTAATTTCTCCTCCTTCACCGAGCATGACCAGCACGTTTCCTCCTCCATCCAGGTAGTGCTTGAGAACCTCAAGCTGGAGTAAAATGGGACAACAGTGTCAAAACATGCGTGTGTGATAACTGACCCAACATTTTGCTTTGGTTGGCAAACTTTGCTGCATCACATTCCTGCAAATTAAAGAAAATAAACACGTTCTAAGCTGATAGGAGATATCTTGTCCTGATACATCACCTCTGATGCTGTGAACTTCTCCCTTGGGCCTGCCGTTATCCACAACTTCACATTTTTCAGCTTCTCCACAGACAGTTCTTCTTTCATACTATGGAAATAGCATTTTCAGACTTTTTTTCTCAGAATTACTGCAAAAGCTGAGGAATTTTTTTAATGTTCAAGCTAAAACAAATAGCCATAGTCAGGAGACACAAGTAAGTGTTCAACCACAACACCTACCTCTGGATTTTCCATTGAGCCCGTAATCTCTTCTGCATGGATTTGTATCCATTGTTCGTGGTAAAAAGTTCTCTTTTTGAAGCGTTGAAGACGACGGAATTGTGCGAATCCCTCTCCATTATTTATTAGGTTTGTTGACTCTTACATGTATCCATACACCTAGAGAGAGGTTCAACTCCAAGTTAGATCCCATATCATTGTCTAGGAACTGCCCTTAAAACATTACCACTATCTTAGCAAGCTGTGAATTGAGTTGGCGTGGTTGTAATGTAAATAGTTATCACATCAAATTGCAAACATAAGTAGCAGCATCCATCTTCGTGAGCTAAGATACCGTTATCAAGCTTAGCTAAGAAGCTAGCTATATGTTGCATTAGCCCTGTAGCTAATAGCTTGGCGTCGTTACCTTATAATAGCGTTCAATACTAATTCTTCTCTTTTCTGTTCATTTGATTATAGCGAGAGTTAAGATAACTGTTCGCTTATAATATTAATTTCCATCTGTGACGCTGCGTTACATTATATTATATTAGTTAGCGTTGCCCAAGTTACCTCACAAGCACTCCTTGAAGTGATGCATTATGGGAGAGAGTGGTTACTAAGGGCGCTAACAACATAGCAACCAGGCAGTGCTGCAGTGTTGCAAAATAAAGTCCACTTACTAGTTTTCCCCCAAAGCCTTTGGCCATATCTCATTGTATTCATCAGGGAATAGAGTTGCAGCGTTTATTACACACACTACACCCAACAAACTCTCTTTGGGTTACCTAACGTTTCAAGTAAGCCTATGAATTGTGATATACACTAGTGGGTCACTGCAAGGCCAATGTCAAACAAAATACACCAGACTTCAGTGAAAAAAAATTCAAATTTGGAGTAAATGATCTGCATCTGCCCCAAAATTTAACGGGTTGAAAATATAATCCCCATGGCAGATGTTATAAAATTAATGCTTCAATCATTTTGTGAAATGTTTTTAAAATTGCTACTATTATGGTATATAAGGTGTTAAATTCCGAGGTAAGGAATAAACTTCCTCTTAATGCTACATTATTGTTGTTATTATAATATGTTGGTGACTGAGTCCGGTGAAGAGTTAGAAAATTAACAAGGGTACCTTCCTTTTTTTAAATTCTTTTTTTGAATTATTATTATTATTAGTTGTGGGGACATTCATCTGACAGGCTAAAAGGAGTTATGATAAATGTTCATATCCAATCAGTTAAATGACAGACCAACAGTTCTTTTGATTGTCATATGATCCTACTTACTTGCTGCTGTTACAAATGGCCATGGGATAATTATCTCTTAATATTCTCTCATTTGAGTGGGGACAGATAAAAGAAAAAACAGAACAACAAAAACAAAAGCATGAACAAAAAACAGTGTTGACATGGATTTTTTATACTTATACAAATAAGGTTCATGTTGATGAAAAAATGAAGAGACAGGCTTTTCTTAAATGTGTTATTTTATTCCAATATGATATTAGAAATAAATGCTGTAGATTGCTTCAAAATGTAATTCCCACTGGAGGAAGATCAGGGATTTTAAAAGGCAAACAGGTAAAAACAATCATCACAGAACATGCAAACTGTGAATTATATTAATTTATACTATTACATCTTTCTATTTGGACTTAGTACATATATGTTATCAAAATATGAAGCAACATATGGCCCTGCTTTCAGCTGCTGGACTCAAATGGTTCATTCAGACTTTATGAAAACAAGAGAAATACTGTTCCCACAGAGTTACAACAACTTCAGTGATCCCCCTTCAACAGTTTTCTGATAATCATTTTACAGAAAAACTACAAATCAATAAAATATAGATTTAATGACCTCCCAATTTGTTCCAAAAGGTACAAATCATTTTTGATCTGTAAACATCTCAAAACACATCAAACACAGGCCTGGGATGTGTACTAACATTACATTTTGTTCAGTACATTGTTATAGAAAGAGGCAGTCTTAAAGGGGCAGACCAGGATCAAGAGCGAGACCTGGAGCGGGACACAGAGCGCTTGGCTGGGGACTTGGAGAGCTGACGGTCCGTGTTAATAGGAGATTTTGAGGCATGTTTTTCATTTCTACTCGCTGAATGGGAACGTGAGCGACTTCTCGACTTCTTACTGGAGGATTTCTCCTTGGACCGACTTCGGGATCCGCGCTCCGTTTTGACTTTGGACCTACTTTTGGAGCGTGACTTGCGAATGTCTGAGCGAGAGCTGGACTTTTTGCTCTTGGAGGGACTGTGTGATTTGCGTGTGCGTGTGCGAGACTTCTCTGGGGATTTAGAGTGACTGGACTTTCTCTTTGATCTGGAGTGTGACTTCCGTCCTGACCTGGACTGAGACCTGCGCTTGCTGCGAGACTGAGAACTGCAAAAGAGAAGAAAAATACAACAGCCAGTTTAGGTCATGTCACTTTGTATAATATTACAAAAAGTTCTCCCATTTCTACACTTTATTTCTTGACTCAGATTTAAGGCTTTGTGCTCAATGAGTCATACTCATAGTAGCTAGGCACAATCACTTTCAGTGACGCTGTTTTGCCTTTAACCTTTAAAGGAGTAAATCAAATTATGTAAACATCTCTCCAGGCATCTCCAAATTTTTCAGACCATTGTGGGAGCCCGGAGCTGGACTTACAGTGAGCGAGACCTGGAACGGCTGTGAGAACTCCTGCTTCTTCGGCTGCGGCTGTGAGAGTGCCTCCTGCTATGAGACCTGTGGGTTTAACATAACAACCTTAGATATAAATGGTAAGAGAGAAAAAAAAAAAGGACAGAAAACGCACGCATGCATGCACGCACGCATGCACCCACACACGCATCACCAGGGATCATTTACCTGGATCTGCTGCCAGAATAAGAGCGCCTGCGCCGAGGTTTGTCTTCCACCAGACGAATCTTCCTGCCATTGACATCAGTCCCATCGAGCTTCTCTAAAGCTCGCTTCATGTCTGAACGGGACCGAAATTCAATGACGCCCTCATTGGCGCGTCCTTTGTGAGCATCAGCGTAGGTTACTTCACCTGCTTGCCGCATAAAATCCTACAAAGAAACAAATTTACCAGCTGAACATTAGGAGGGACTAAATGAAATGAATGTGTTGCTCCTGTTCCTGAGTTGCTAAAGTGGATAATTTTACACACATCAGGGTTCTGTTGATGTTCTACTACATTTGTCTATTGGCCAATTCACAAGTCTTCATTTGAGTGCCAGATATAGAAAGAGCAGTTTAAGTATTGGATTTGCAAAAAAGACTATGAGGTTAAGCTTTAATTTCAGTGTTAATCTCCACATCAGATGTACACTGTAGGAAATATAACTTTTTTATTCACAGTTGCCCAATTTTAATGAGCCAAATGCAAATGAATGAATTTATCTGGCTCTTGATAAATGTATAAGATGTTATATCTGGTTGCTGACCTTTGCAGTCAGCGACAGTCTGAGGTCTACGACCTATAGACATCAGCAGAGACAGGTTATCTGCCAGACCTGTCCTGCAGCCAGCTTGGCTTCTTGCTTGGAGGGGAGCTGTTTAGCTTAATTGTGGTCTTCATCAAGTGAAGCACATGATCAGTTGGATTGATATCTGGTGATGGACTTGACAAGAAACACTTCACTGTCAAATGCAACAGAACTCCCTGTTTGCCTCGGCTGTATGCTTAGGATCATTGTTATGTTGCAGGGGGACCAGCCCATATTTAAACTGGGATACAATTCCTTGATTGTTCACCCAATACGAAGAAAATATCACCCAGATTTTAATCTATAAAAACTTCTTGTTCAATATATCAACAAGTGGATGTATATTCCTGTTGTGCTGGGAGTCTGTACCTGGATCAATTGTGGATCATCTCTCACCTTGAGGTCCTGCCAGCTGCACCTGCTGGACAGGTTCTCCACAATGAGGCGGTGCTCAGTGCGTACTGGTGGCCCGTACTTGTCCCTGCCGGAGCGATTCCAGCTGCTGTAACCGCTACCTTCAAAGAAGACAGAGAAATTAAAATTTAATTTGAAGACAGCTAATTCTGGAGAGGTGAAGACTCCGAACTGGCATAAATAATCTAAGAAACCACTACAGACTGGGCTTCTTTTTTACCTAGAATTTATTTTGTGCCAAAGCCTCTTAACTTTTTCTATTAATAGACTGCTAACAGCTCCCAACTCTGTCAACTTTCAGACGCAACACACAATTAATTGAATATGCTCATGGTTTTTAGTCCACATCCTCTGGTCCCAGAGCACTGTTGATTTTTGATAGGGGTCATTTAAACTGGGTGTTTGAGGTAAATGTGCTTAAACAACTAAAAAACCAGCAGCACTCTATGCCCTGTGGACCAGGATTAAGAACCACTGCATTAAGGATTCGACAGCATTTTTCTTAACTTGTGTGTATTAGTGATTTCTTTGAAGTACAACGACAATACTAAATCCTGTCACGACAGCTTTAAAGGAACATATATAGATTTAACTTAACTGAATGTAGTAACCAGAAAACCAATACGTTCAGTTGTGTGGTTGTGAAACAAAACCTAAATTTTATGGATTTGCTGTACAATATTTGACATTTTATGATTAACTGGGCTATTTTTATGTTGGTGCCAATAATTGCAGATGCAGAGAATTTGCTACTGTCCCTCTTGTAAAATCTGATACTGTAAGTGCATGAAAATTATATTTTGTCGTCTCTCCCAAAGTAGTAGTTCCAAAATTCTTTATTTAAATTCTTTACTCCAAACAGCTGAATAGCCAGAAAACATCTCCCAACTCGAACTACGACGTTCCATTTGTAACATAATAAAACAAAGATGACACCTACCAAAAACTCTTTGATTTACTACAGAGTACTGGAAGCCAAATCAGTGGCTGGAACGTGTGTTGGCTTGGTCCTCTGCAATATGTCTTGCAACAGTAAAACCAACAGGATTCCTCACCATCACCCTGGTCTATTGGAAAAGGATGCTGTCATCATGGCTTCCGGTTATGTCAACCAATGGTCAAATGGCAAAGGTCACACACACATTGTAAGGGGAAAGCCCAGGCCAAACGGGTCAGGCAGTCATCTTTACCCTCATTGGACTCGGACTCAGCCCGCAGTGGACTCTTTCAAATTAAAACATCAAGCACTTTGTTAATGTTGACTTCAAACTGAATACATTGTAGCTTCAAAAGTCTTACCTTTTCTTTAATCACTGTTACTCATGGGATTTTAACACACATCTCTTTCACTGTATTAAGTCTTTATTTCTACCTGCTGTCAGGCACAGTGTCAGATCCATTAGATGGCTGTGGACATTATCCTTTTGTAAAATAATGACTACCAAAGAGTGAATACTGAAAAAATACCCACAGTGTGAGGTAGGACATGTCACTTGAGTATTGACACCTTCACTGAAATTAGTTTTTTTTTGGTTGTATGGAGAGTCAGTGTAAGTGAACATGTCTTATGTTGTGCTAGTGAACAGAGACTGATTAGAACCCCACATTCACATGTACCTAGATGTGCTGAACTTACTGCGCCCCCCATAGCCATATCCATCTCTCCTCGGTCCACGCGCATGCTCAATGATGACTCGCTCCCCACACAGCTCTTTTCCGTTCAGTTCATACACAGCATCATCAGCATCTCGCATGTCCTCAAACTCTACAAAGCCGTACCTGTGTGGGATCAATGTGCACGATTCAAAGCAGGGAATTACCATTACTTTCATCAATTTCTCTGATATTTATCCATAATCAATTCTACAAAATGTCTAAAATGATGACTATTACATACTATTGCCACCAACCTTATATCGATGAGTCAATGCTTCAAATCCCTTTGAGAAGTTGTAACCAACTAGCAAATACATTATGATTTCGGGTATCTAGGGTAGTATAAGTGATTATTTTCATTTCCAGGTGATATAACATTATTGAGCATTTTCTCGATTCGTGAGTTATAATAATTATGCAAGGCTGCTACGTACTGGAAAATGAAATTCATCACGGACAACCATTGATAAGAAACGTAAATGTTTCCGTCAATTTACGGTTTTCGACGTAAGTTAACGTCACTGCTCAATGTTGCTATCAAGCTACATGTGACAATTACCTACATTACGGTTTGGTTTATTAACATTATGGTGTCCCTAAGTCTGACATTAGAGAGAACTGTGAATAATATATTCACAGTGGTTAACAACATTCTTTTAGTTAAATTAGTCGTTAAAAGCCAGCAGGACTGACCAAACAACTACAGTAACGTTAACGTTAGCAAAGGATATGTTTAGAGTCAACCCAATGGGAGTCAACCACAGGTCATGACTGCTGGCGTCACGTTAACGTTAGCTAGCAAACAATAACGGATTGTTTTGCACAATTTTCAGTCACTGTGTACACAAGAAAAGAAAACAACAGGACGTTAACTCCACAGCTGTGTTTTTTTTCTAACATTAATTGGGTCCCCATCTCAGGACTAACATTAAATGTACATTAGCTAGCTGTTACGGATGATGAGGTGATCTTACCCATTTTTCAGGTCGATCTCTAATAATTTACCATAACCACTAAAGAATCTTTGAATGTCTTTCTCCCGTACATGATAGCTTAGCTTGCCGACATATACCCGCGGCATCTCCGATAACAGTTAACAGTTTATTTCTACAAGTTACAATGCACTTCGTGTTGGGCCACAGACAGGCCTGGGAGACGCACAAGCTCGTCGATTTCCGGTCGAATCCTTCAGAATAGAAGCATTGTGTCCAAAACAAAAATAAAAATACTTCAGCACAGAAACTGCACTATATATCTATCTATACATTACTCTATGTCTAATAATCTTATTTACCTGCATGTAGTGCTCACACTGTTATTTAATATCCAGATTAGAAGAAAAACCTACAGGTCCCCACATTCAATCAGACTGTATAACATAAAAGTTCCTGGCTGACACTGTGAACAGCCTAAAATGCATTATGCACTTATCAAGACTGCCACCTTGTAAAAAGAAAGAAAAAAAAAACTATGAAAGTAGATTTTAAGATACTAGCAAGTGGAACAATCATTTTCCATCAGTGGATCTGTCTGTCCTGATTCACAAAATTTCACCTTCTTCACTCACCACTCATGGGTCAGGCCATTTCTTTTCTGCACTGTCCTGTTCTCTCTGCATTCTATTCGTCTGCTTTAAAACCCATGGGACAGCTGCTGGTAGTTCTATGTGATAGGCAGGCATACAAATATTATGTCATTTAAATATCTCTTTTGTGGAGCTTTCAGTCATTAAAACACCATTACACAGTGTAAGGCTGTTTTTTCACAACTAAGTTCTGTTACAGACCACTATTAGCATACTAAGAATGTCAGTGAAGCCATTATGATTGTGTGATGCCTTTTACAAAAGCTGGAAAAAACAAACTCCCATGCTTTGTATTTCTTTTTTCCATGGTAGGTGATGTGCCACAATTAGAATATGGTCTTCTAAGAAGAGACAAGCATGCATCCATTATAACTTTAGAATTCTTTATTGACTGGAAATAAAATTATATTTTGCATGTTCTTATAAATAAAACAATCATACATTCATAATTATATTAATAATTGTATGTCTATAAATTAAAATGTAATAAAAAAATGAATATGATTAGTTACAAATAATTAAGACATGTTAAAAAAATGTTAATGTTAGGAATGTGCTTATAGTTTGCTGGGCTCTGTAACGGGTGTCACTCTCAGGACACCCTCCTGGGAGCAGGAGGCAGCCAGTACCCCGTCTCTTCTCCACAGTCGGCCTTGAACCAGTCCCCTACTGCCCCCTAGAGGACACAACACAAACCACAGAAAAAAAAGCAGGAAGCACAAAAGGGTCATTTGTGTCCAAGGTTTTGACAAGGATGACTGACATGGGCCACAACAGTAGCATACCACAAAATAATTAACATTCCAAAATGGACAGAGATAAGTCATTTTGAAATGAGTCAAGAGGCACAAAAATATGTTTAAAAATTAAAACTAATTGCTCAAACACAGAGTAACCAAGTGTAATCCAAAACAGTTGTCCCAACAATACTGGGTCTTTGAGGCTGATACTGATATTGACAATTTTAAAGAAATCTGATAACAGTATAATGACAGATCGTTATTATCTTAAAATATAACAGTAAAACAATTTAGCTAGTAGCAGTTATGACCCCCATTACTTTGTACTACTGTGATGCACACAGACACAACAAATAAAGTACAGCTGATGGGAAGTGAACAATACACTGACCTGCCCATGGGCTCTCACACTCATACAGCATCCACTCATCACTGCGGAAAGTGGAGTGGAACCACATGGCGTGGTCTAGAGAGGCTGAGAACTCAGCCTTGTAGTTGGGATAAGGCAACAGTGCAGTGCCCAGGAATGCAAAGTCTGATACATATGCAGCAACACAGCAATGCAGCTTCATGTTGCCTTCACCTACACAGACACACAGATAAAATGCATAATCAAATTTAGCTTATAATGTATTATGTATCTCATATTGTGTTTATATTAATATTTTCATTTATTTTCACATTGCAAATATTTTTGATATTTGCAGTGTCCATAAAACTGTTTGCTGCTAAATGGTTACAGCCTTCCACTTTGCCCTATTTTCATATACTGAGTATATACTTCATGTTATTTACTGTGTCCTATTTTTAGCTGCAGCAATGACTCAATACACTTAAAATCAACATATTGTTTCATTTAATATTAATAAATTGATCATTTTAATAAATCTTGTTATTCACTTGATCAGAATACTCTATGCAATGTAGCTTCAAATGCTTTGATATATGTAGCTCATATGTGCAAAGGGCAGTGTAATTAACTAAGCTTATTTTACCAATATATCCTCGTGCTCGCACCCAGAACAGCTTCCTTGGCTCAGCACCAGCAAGTCTGTAGAAGTGTGGTGGGTGGACTGGCTTTATCTCAATGGGGACCTCATTAGCCAGCAGTTTATTAAGGCCTTGTTTCGATTTCTCTGCCAGGTCCGGTTTACTGTATAATAACAGAACAGACTACAGATCATCTGCAGGGTAATTAATGGACCTTTATAGCAAATGCAGTTATATAATAGAGCATGAGTCAGCATGTTTAGTGGGACTGCTGCAGATTGCATTTTTTTTAGCATCCACTGAGCTACTAGTAGAGCAGCATAGTTTTCAATAAAATCAACCAGGGATCATAACGTATGTATTTTATGTTGTTTGTCTTCTGTTTTTCAGGTGGTGCAGTTTGGCCTATTTTTATGTTAGAAACCCACATCACCTGCATTGATTTGTGGGGTCTACAGCAGTCTGTGGGTCTACTCTGAATACATACTTGGATTACAACTGGAGTCCAATTCCACTGACTGGTCTCTTGCCATCATCTATTAAAAAGGCAGCAGTTTCATATATTGAATTGAAAAAGATCCAATCAAAATCATGATATTTCGATAATCAACCTCAAATAGAACTTTGTGCTGATTCCTGCACCAAGGTTCCCTATTAATGCTCCTCTGACAGTAATACAATAGGGGGGAACAAACTGCACTTAAGTCAAAGTCATAAAATGGCACCAGAGCAAAGGAAAATTTTTACAGCCCCCCATTCAAAGAATTTAGGTCCTTGAATGAGTAATGCACTAAATGTTAATGTCTTTATACTTCACTGTACTTTCACATCTGCATCTTTACACAGAACAAACAGAATGCCGGCACTCACAGATAAATAGTCTTCTTGTTCAGTGTGGAGTTGTGCACGCTGCTACTGTCTACTACATCTGCATCTTTCCATTCATTTCATCACTTTTTTTCCTCTCTCTCCTTCTCAGGCCTGTAGATTATTCAGAGTAGGTGAGACACAGTTACTGGAAAGATTCCCTGCTGGTGAGTTTTTTTTAAATGAAATTTTCTATGGTTTAAGCACCACAAATAAAGTTCCATTCACCTCCATTTTATTGGGGTGATGGCAGAAGAAAAAAAGGAAAAAAGAAACTAAACTTACTGCATGGCTTGAAACCACTGGTGGTAACTTTGAATGCAACACTAATCTAACCCACAGAGTATACAATTTACATGTATGTCTTGTTGTGTATGTTTTTTGTCTATAGTAGTCCCTTGTAAATGTTGCTTTGTGATGAACAAAACAAATAGTTATTGTACCTGAGATAAAGATGAATAAGCTCCTCCACAGTGAGGAGGTCTTCAGGCTGAGGGACCTCCGGCATGGTGAACTGGTGCTGCAGGGGGCTCGGTTGCTGCATGTGGAAAGACGCTTGGCAGATGAGTATAGGGTGTCCATGCTGGATGGCCCTCACAGAGCGCACTGTGAAACTGCGACCATCTCTTATGCGGTCCACTTGGTACAGCACTGGAACCTTAGGATCCCCTGAAAAACATCCAAAAGACATCTGTGGAGAAACAGTAACTGGGACTTTCTGAGGACAGTTTCTGGATCATTCAGTTGATTATGATGCGATTATGGTTGGTGTATGAGGGACTGTTTGAAGTGGAACTTCTTTGGAAAGCTGAACACTATTCCTGCGGTTGGGGGTTAACTCATCTTACCTGCACGTACAAAGTAGCAATGGAGAGAATGGGCGAAAAGGTTGTCGCTCACAGATTCGGCGGCGGACACAAGGGCCTGACCGACTATCTGGCCCCCAAACAAGCGTTGAGTGCGAGGCACCCAGTGATGCGTCCCTCTGGGGAAAATTGGAGAAACAGCTGAAATATACACACAGTTGCCAGTTCATTAGGAACACACAGCTAAAACTAATATAGTCTTATACAAAAACCCTGCAATAGATTACACCTCCATGAAGGTTATAATTTTCAGCTTGTGTTGTAACTGTTACACAGGTGTTGATTGTACCGCAGTTTGGGGCGTTGTTTAACTGTATTGCGGTGTTTCTTATATTTAGCTACCCTCATTGATATAAATGGGTTGACAAAGTAATAGAAACACCTGTGAGTTTAACGTCCATTATAATGGACACTGCAGCAGAGCGAATCATTAGTTGCACTTTATATAAGAAATGTATTATTATTATTATGAGACATCCATATTTGTTTCGTTTTCAGATATTTCAAGTTTCCTGGTCGTAGTTACGATGTGAACGTGGCCAACGCCTCTAGGAGAGGGGCACTCATTTTTTCGATAATTCCGACAGGACATGGATGCGGAATTGATTTCCTTTGTGCTAAACAAAGTAAAGTGACAAAGTTCAAACAGCTACCTGTACAGGTCTACGTCGAGCTTCTCTAAGTTTAAAACGCTGGTGACCAGAACACTTTTGAGGTCCTGGCTATACTGAGCTTCCGGCCTCTCCGAGCTTTCATCTTCAGGTGATTTCGGTGACTCTGTACCTCCTGTATAATCACAATTATTCGTTGGCCCCTCAGAGCTACTACCCGTATTCGCTTTTCTGTCCGCCATGTTTGTTTGGCAACTTCTTCTTCTTGACGTTGCGGCAGTTTGGACGCGGCGGAAGTGTACTCCTGCCCTCTACAGGTCAGATGTAGAATTCCACTGACAACCTTAAATGGAGAGAATCTGTAAATCTACTGTGCCAAGTATGGATTTCAGTGAATAGTCTGCACCTCATTTTTCTCACTTATGTTTGCAAGATGTTAACGTATTTGTGATAGTTGGTGTGATGGCTCAATACCTATATCACACTCTATTTAGCTTGCACCATACCTAGCTTCTTTAAGATAGAGGAAGCATCTTGTCATTAAACTAAATATCATATTAATGTTTCTCTATCAGTTCCCCATTCAGATCATATCAGACAATGTATAACATTGAGGACTTCCCTTTACTTTTTCCACGTTATTGTTTTTTCATACCAGATTCCAGGAACTTTTAACCCTTTAGGTAGTATGTTATGTAGCTTGAGATTGTGTTGTGCTGCTTTCTTTTTTAAACCAAATACCTCATACTTGGATTTAGCTACAGAAAATTTAAAACCCCATTTCTCTGTCCATGTCACAATTTTGTCTAACACCTCCTGAAGCTGCCTATAAATATGATTTGTATTTCAACCATATGGTGCCAACATTAGCAAACAGCAAGTTACTACTTGACTAAAAACATCTTTAGTCATCACATTAAACAAAACTGGACTTATTATCCTTCCCTGAGGGGTGTCATTTCCTGTCCCGCCTACTCATTCTTAATCCAGTTCAGCATCCTGCCTCATACCCCAGGCTCATACAGCTCTGCCATTAAGCCCTCCTTCAAATAGCATGTCATATGTGTTTTTGATATTAAGCAATACTCCCACTACTGTTTCCTTACTAAGACTTTCCTGTTATCCATGTCCAACACTAATACACAGTCCATAGTGGGAGACAGCCTTTGTAAGGGACAAAATATCCCTGTTTTACAAGCATATGCACTAGTCTGTCTGTGACAATGTGTTCCATTACTATACAGCTGCTTTTCCAAGTTTCTGTATTGGAACAACTGTGTGTTTCCATTCTGCCATTCTTAATGTCCATGCCCCAGTATTGTATTTATTAATAAATAATTAATAAATTGCTTAACTTCCTGCAAAGAACCTCTGTGTTGTTCAAAGGCAGTTACACATCAAATGCTAACACTCATTACCGCCACCTACTGTTAGGATAAAATACATACAGTCAAAACAAAAAACCTTGTGTCCAATATATAACGACTGAATTTTCAGTGTTCTCAAGTTTACAGCAATTGTATCCTCAAGCATTTGAACTATATGCATTTATTCTCCACTATGACACTTTCACATATAGCCTATGGTATATCATTAGCTTCTTTTTCCAAATAAGCATTGTAATAGGATAAATGTATGTCTTAAATATTCAAAGCAAACATTTTTTGGCTAGAGCCTGTAATTGTATATGTAGCATTATTATTTATGTTTTAAAAGTTGATGTCAATTCAAAATAATGTCAGGGCTTGACCAATTGTTTGCCAACTAATTGTTTGGGACAGATGCAAGGTACCAAGTTTCATGGTAGTTAAAAGTAGGCGCATCAAGTAGCTGAATTGCTTCATAATTGTTTAATTTTTCAAGATGGGATTTCCTCATGTTAAATTGACCACTAGAGGTAAGTGAGAAAATATGATTTAGCCTTCTACAGAACTATCAAGGGTTTTCATTGGAACGACTTCGTCAGTAGAAAGTGGTTCCAGTTTTAGATTCATGTGCTAAAGATCTGATGTTAGAGGGAGAAGGGGACTTAAGATCTGCATAATTCAGGATACAAGTAATCTCACCCAGCCATGGATTTAATACAGCAAGAACAGTGGATAGTTTATATGTACCGTTAGACAGGAAACTCTTGCAGAGATTTTTTTCAGCCTACAGCCTGATACTCTGTGTGCATACAATTATGTTGTTTAAATATACATCAGTTATGAAAACACTTCACATTTAATATGTTTGTGTAAGAATCTCAGCATAGTCATATTTCTACAGTTATATTACATCCACTTGAAGGTCAGTCAAATGACAAGAATAATAGCCCTTAATTCTTCTTTGGCATGTCTTTGACATGGTGAAGAAAATTTAAGACATTGAATTCAGTCCACAGTGAAATACCACAGTCACAGGAAATGCTTGGCTATGCTTGAAAATGAAGTAGGCACTCCATTGATCTTTATAGGACCAAAAAAGGTCCCATGAGGAAGCCCCATCTACAGAACAAGCTTTTAATCTATTTAGCATAGACTCACAGGATCCAATCTCTTCCATTACATTTACTCCGTCTTTCAAATCTGGAGTTTTAGCTGTTTGTGCCTCACAATAGCTCTGGAGGCTGTAATAAGACCCACCATAATAACTGAAAATGCACATTTTGATACAGTATATTTGGAGTTTTAGTGGAGTATGATTATATCTGTTATAATAAAGAAAAGAATATTAATAATACATTTTATTTTATGGTGCCTTTCATGGCACTCAAGGTCACCTTACATCATCATCACTAATAAACCATACAATAAGCAACAAAGCACCAGTAATAAAATGTCAGTAAAATGCACAAATACATCTCTATACAGATCTCCAATAGTGTGTATGCTCGCTGTTAAAATGCCACTGCTTCCACTATACTGTTGTTTACTGGATACAAACTGCACGATTGTTTCATAATAGAAAACATTTCCTACATAGTGCGACAATTTATGCTTTTGGTGGATTTTGGTCCAAACCCCCCTAGAATGAAGAAGAATGTGATTATGTTGTGATACCTGATCAATGAGATAATAACTCATTTGGGTTAAATGGTGAAGATGACTTCATCCCAGTGTCTTTCTAGTCTACTCTATTTTCCTGCCAGTTTCCAACATTGGGCTAGTGTAGCATTTCAAATACAACGTAGGGTCAGGCAGCTCTAGATCTGACTTCTTTTTAGGAGCACACAGATTACTTATTTTAATTTTCCCAGTAAGAGAACTTAGATCTAATGCAGAGAAGGAAAAAATGAATACATTTTTAACAAAACTGCAGCTTATTCAGTATGCTTCAGCTGAATGAAAGACAATGATGGTAGAAAACATTACACCAGGACTTCAGACCTTGCCCCCCCCCCCCCCACTGCACCACAGAGTAGAATTCAAAAACCGGCTGCATGTCTATGAATCTTTAATGGCTTAGCCCCAAGATACATCTCTCACATTTTGTAAGATGTAAAACCTCTACCTGTTAGGTCATGTGGAAGAAGTCTGCATTTAGTTGCTGAGTCATTGCATGGAAACTGCTTGACTCTGTATGAATCAAACCTCACACCAACAGGAAAACATATTTTGTTTGTATTTTGGGACTGATTCACTTTTATTGCCTCTTTCCTCAGATGTCAGAACTAGTTTGCTCTACCACATCTGCTGTTCATTTTGACATTTTAGTATTAGTCATTAGTCTTATTGTTTTATATTTTTATTTTAGTCAGGTTTTTAGGTAAAATGCAATCATCTATTAATTTCAATCAAACAAAGTATTCAATTCAATTGTTGCCTCGTTGTAGATGTGGGATTATAAAATGTTAGAGTTAAAAATTGACAAGTAAAATGATCTCACTCCATGACAGCACTTGAAGTTTGATGTCAGTGGCTGTCCTTCTTTTACATCTTTCTTTTATTCCTCAATAAAAACACAAATAGTTGTTTGTGTAGCTGTTGTTGTTGTTCACTAAACACAAATAGTACAGAGTGTGATGCTGAACCCTTTCAAAATAAATTCAGTTTGCCACAGGTGGACTTCAGTCAGGTTCTAGGCACATCTCCAGGATAATTACAGCAAACAGGATGCACCTGAGCATCAAGCACAAGAGTCTGAAAGTGTCTGTAAATGAGAGATTTCAGTTTTTGATTTTTATTAAATTTGCAAAAAAAAAAAAAAGCAACAAAAAAAAAAATCATCTTAAATGATGTTTTTAGGGCAGTCTTGCCTCCATCCTCTTCTGAGATAGAAGGGTTTGGATGAGACTCCATTAGTTAAGAAGATCTTATTCGATCTGAAAATGATCTCCAAAATTCATGAATTTAAAACTTTGCGATAAAAGGTTCACTTCAGTGTTTCTGGATCAAATGATGTTTTTGATGCATTAATGTGGAGGCTCTAACTTAATTGCCCAATTTAGAATTAAAAAAAAGAATCAGTTCATGAAGGAATAACTATAAATGGGATATGAATGGTCACTAAAGATAATAAAATCTGGGTACAATATAGATGAAATGGGGCTTTTCCTTTTCAGTCCTAGAGGCAGTTAATATGGAGATCTTCCACAATGGCCGGTGGGGGCCAGTGGGGGCCAGTGGGGGCCGGTGGGGTACGACATCTGGGACTTGAGTGTTGCCCAAGTAGCTTGTCGACATCTGGGCTGTTGCAGGGCTGTGTCAGCACCACAGAGGACACATTTGGGCAGTGGACCAATCTGGTTGGACAATATTCAGCATCCAGGAAATGAGTCATCGATAACAGACTGTGGACATCGAGGGTTTGGATCCCACGACTGTGTCACACAGAGGATAACAGTGTCATCGGAGAAGGTAGATGTGTACATCTACTTTACATTTCAGGTTGGAGCCTCTGCTCCGGGCCGCTCAGCTTGTTTGCTCCTGTAATCAGCTCCAGGTAGCAGTGCCTATGCTTTCATCTGGTTTAAACACATTCTCTGGTCACCTGGCAGCCACTCACTGCTCCAGCTACCCCCTGTGTGATAGCGCTGTATGGTATCAGGGGCCACGTCAGGCTGGTGAGATGGTGATATGAACAATCATTTCTTTATTACATGAGTGTTTAACAAGGCTACTGTATTCATTAATTTTTCATTTTCCTGCTCAGGTGTGATTGTTTACTGCCCTGTAGAGGTAAAAACGTCTGTTCAGATAGAAAAGCTCATTTTTGCCTCATGTCGATCATGCAAATTTGACCACTGCACCATTAGAGCTCATGCATTAACTCTACATACAAAACAAGCCCCAACTGTGTGTGTGAGTGTGAGTGTGTGTGTGTGTGTGTGTGTGTGTGTGTGGAGGTGCATCTTTGGGTTTTTGTTCAGCTCAGTGTCTGAACTCTGGGAAATAACAGAAAGAACTGGAGTTCTTTCTGTTATTTCCCTCCAGTCTCTCTCCTTTCCCCTCCCATCTCTGTATATTTATGAAGAGAGATTCATATAGCTCTGGGAGTTGCACATATTTTTTATAGTCAAAAGACTTTCAGCTGCCGCCGCCCTGTGCAAGTACACATCTTATTGTGTTTTTCCATTGGCTTTGACTGCACCAACTCTAAAATTCACTTTGTTCTGTCTGAACACACAGAAAGTGTCGAGCACAGATAGTTGCCACTGTCGTGTTCCTTACATTTGTATAAAGTAACAACAATATACTGTATTTACTTTTTATTACTGTGGTCCTTAAGGGCAAAGCACATACGAGAGAGAAAGCACAAACATTCAAGGAAACACACTCCAAATACAGAAACACAGACAAAGTTTGTTTGAAGATTTGCTGCAATGTTTTCAGAATTAGACATTTTTGGATAAGGAGCACATTTCCCTCAATGTCTGTGGTTTTTCCTTACTGGCTACTGTACTATTTTTTTTTTACGGTATATGTTTTATTCTTTTTATCATGATCCTCAAAGTCAGTTTATTGATTTTGAAAGAGAAACAGAGGTCAGAGATGGACACAGTTAAATGGTGTAAAAGGGAGGGCCTGACGGTGTTAAACCAAGGTGCTCCAGAGGAAAGATGGTTGCTCTAACTTCCTAGTCACATGCTAGTTTGTAGTTGAACTCCAACACCCACACCTCATTCATTCCAGGTATCTGTCTCTCCTGATTTATATCTCCACTAGAATGTAAAACTGTGTAATGGTCCTAATGACTCAGTCTGACATGTTTTCCAGGGGTCCTTCTGACCCTCGACGTCCGTCAGCGGTTGAGAACGACCTGCGCCTCTGTGCTTGTCTCTCTGCAGGGTGACAACCCACACATCTTGCTTCACTGCAGACTAAGCCTGAGTGACAAGAGGTGCTACCAATGAGCGTCAATGAGTCAGACGCTAATGCTCTGACTTAACGGAAAGAATCAATCAGTAATCAATGCTTCACAGCCGAACACTGGGCGTAGGTCTTTAATCATCCTGCTCCCTCTCACCTCACAGTTTTGCAGAAAGAGGACGCATCGCACTGTTCCCAGCTCAGTTCAGCTCGACCCCCTGAACACTGGATCCGTCCCCTGTGAGTGTAAAATACATTCTGCTATCAGAGCAGCGTGAGTTTTATGGAAGTTATTACCATGTTTCCTTTTCCTTTCATCTTGCTTTTTAGCTGAGAAGTGACATGTTAACGGCGTAAGCTGGTTAACACTGCAAAGACACACACTTTAGTGATATTAATATTTGAGATAAATGATTGAATAATTTCATTCAATCTCTCTCTGATGTCATTCCTGTCACTATGGGTTATGCTTTATGCTGGCTCTGTCTTAGCTTCTTGCTAGCTTTTTATGTCTGAACACTACCTGCATTGAAATGATACATTATTTTAAATATACATTAATAAATACATGAGATATCATAAAAATGTGTTTGAAATATTATTCTGCTTGTCATAAATAAAGTAATGGATACTCAGTGAAACGCTCAGCTACCCCTCGACTCTGCGTCGTGACGAGAATGATGGACAGGAGGCTTTTATATGCTGCCATTTTATCTGAACAGAATATGTGCTGGTCAGTGATACAGTTGGCTCACTCTCACACGGTTCAAAAGAGCTGCAGGTTATTTTAGCACAGAGGCTAGTGAGCTAGTTTAGAGAGCACAATATGCTGTTATTTGAACATTGCAGCACTTAAAAGGTACAGCGACCCACTCGTAACTCTTCTCATTAACCTTTCCATAAATCACAGTGCACATGGCCGACATAGGGACATTAATACACATTTGCACACAGTGCCGTGCTCTGCATCTCTCCTTGGGTGCCTCACTCGTGCACTGGCAACATCTCAAAGCTGCCACTGGTATACATACCACCTCCAAGAGACTGTGCCCTTGAGCCAATAAATCTTCACACATACGTGGATATCAAATTATGGCAATTATGTTTTGTTGCTTATTTGTCTTTACAAGCCTATTATCAAAATTTTACTGTTTACATATTTATTTAACTATTTGGATAAATATTCATTTTATATATACCATGGCTCCATCCTACTCCTATCCTATACTAAACTAAAGCATCATCTTAGCATGACGCTGATAAACGCCTCCCCCCATGTGCACTGACAGGTGTGTCGCTTTTACATGACAATGGGTTTGACATTGCTCCCGTCTTAAAGATACTTATGTGTTCTGTTTTACATAGTGGGTGTATCGTGGAGGCCTCGCAAACATATTGAATACCTTTCCCTCTTCATGAAACATTTGCAAGTCATCATTTTTTGCAACAATTTGAATGTTTATGGTTGTATCTTTGACGGGTATTTCAGAGATTTTAACACAAGACCAAAACCAATCTCTTATTTTCTTAACCAATTGCCTCCATATAACACTTCATATACTCAACTCTGTATAGGTAAAGACTCTTTGAGCAGGAATATTTCTGACTTTGTCGAGTCATAGCTTTAGAATCAGGCTCTACATATTACCATATGTCAGACCAGCAGACAGATCAGTAGAGAGATAGTAGCCTACATCTGCTTGTAGGCCTAAATCCTTTATTCAATAAACATAGAGGACTCAGCCCAGTGGGAAAATGTCATTAACAGAGTCCCCATTTTCTCAAAAGAAACGTGAATCCAATGCTGCCTTCAGGGGCTGTAGGACATATCATAATTTAAAGTTGGCCTCACATTAGAGTCATCCAAAAGAGAAATAGCCCCCAGAAAGAAGTCAGCTAGTCACACAGGAAATATTCTGATCCTTTACTTAAGTAACTAATACCACATTGTAAAAATACTCCATTATCAGTAAAGGTCATGCATTGAAATTGTTACTCAAGAAAAGTATGTAGCTATCACCAGGAAAATGTACTTAAAGAATCAAAAGTAAAAGTACCCAATGCAGAAAATTAGCCCCTGTATATCTACGAATATACTACTAGGCTATATATATCTGCACTATTACATTCTGTATCATTACTCATTCAATAATATTTCAGCAGCATATATCGTTTTGACTGTTTTACATAGGCTAGGGCTGCAAGTAGGCTACTTATTATTTAATCAATATTTGATTAATCTATTTATTGATTTGGTTTGTAATTGACTGATCAACCAAGCCAAATTGTACATACTGCTTTATAGGCTACTGTTAAATTTTTCACAATGCATTATATATCTAAATGTTCTTCCTATGTTTTGGATGTAAAGTCTTAATTTGTAAAGTATCTAGTAACAAGCTTGTAGTGTAGTGCAGTAAACAGTAGCTACAATATCTAGCTCTAAAATGAAAAGTGTCATGACACGGGACTAAGCAAAGTACAATGCCTCAAATTTGCGCTCACATACAGAACCTGAGTAAATGCAGCCTATAGTGAGATTCCACCACTGAGTGAAGAGCCATTGTTGGGTCCAGCTTCCTGTGGACAGATCAGTTTTTAAGCTTTTCAGTTGTTTCACTGTTAGTTTTTGATTTAACTACTTTCCTGACGAATCAGTACAGTGCAGTGACTTTTATTGTAGAGATACTTGACTGTTTGTCACCGCTGCAGCTGTGGCCTCAGGCAGTTTTCGGGTTGTTTGTGTCTGTCCCATTCTTGTGACATCAGGAACATTTCTCAGGGCATTTCTTCAAATGTGGCACAAGCATTCACTTGAGCTTAAGGATAAAATGGTTAGAATTTGGTGGCCAGATGTCAAAGGTAAAGGTCACTGTCAACTCTCAAAACACATTTTTGGCCATAACTCAAGAATTCATGCACAAATCATGACAAAATGTAACACAAATGTCTAACAGGATAAAATGAAGTGATGACATTTTATAAACAAAAGGTCAAAGGTCAACATCATTGTGACATAATGTTCTGCAAAACCACTTTTCTGGTCTTCACTACACATATGAGTCTGGATGGATTGAAACTACAACTTGACTGGTTGGGGGAGTGAGGGGGTAATTCTAATAAGTTGGTGTAATAGCCTAACTTGTGGTAAAAGTAGTCAAGAGTGGCTCTGTATTGCATACCTTATAAATCTGTAGCACCTTCGCAGAATTTTAGTGTTTGAAAACCAAAAGCACACCTCAAGTCGAATTTAGAGCTTTGAAAGTGGGGTGTACGAGCCGCACTTGAAGGCAGCATGATGCTGCGCGCGTAATGGATTTCCCCAGCACTGCTGCTTATCGGGGACCAGGAGCTGCAGCTGCAGCAGTCCAGCCACATTAAATCTGCTCCACCACTTGATGCTGCTGACCTTGGCTGACGGTGGTTACGCCTTTCAGTCTCGCGCTGTGCTTCTCTGTTCACCATGGCATCGTCGGACGGGCTGGATGAGGACTGCGTGTTGCAGCGGGGAAGATCTCAGAGTGACCCGAGCAGCATCACCGAGGTCCGCCTGGGTGAAGCGCACAGAGCAGGTAAGAGGAGGGGTGGGGGCCTAAACGCATGTTGGACATGTCTGTCATCTGCTCAGTTTGTGCTTTTGACAGGTGTTTGGAGAAGAAACACATCCCAGTGTCGGGGCTCGCCTGCAGCACGTCACGCCGATCACATCCGCGGTCTTCCCAATGCATTTGTATGCAACAAACGTAGGTTGTGGTGTAAACGTGCGTCATTTACTATCCCCTATATGTACCCACTGCCGAGCTGAGCTGAGCTGAGCTGAGCTGAGTGTAGGCCTTAAGTGAAACTGCTGTAATAACAGTCACATTTTACAATGACACAATGAATCAGGGACATTTTTGTGTCATGCAACATATGAGATGTTGTCCAACTGGTGTCATACCACTTTTCATGTCAATAACAGCAGGCACTGATTTGCTGATTTTTCCCATATGCTTTAACAGCCCATCAAGCTGTCTCATTGCCTACTTCATTCCTCTTCATCTCATCAGGCTGTGATTAACAAACCTAATTATTGCCCATAACTTTCAGATGATGCCACTAATACAAAGAAAACTGAATGTGGTTTTTTTATGATGCATTTTTTAAAAATATTTGTGAGGGTTTTTTTTTTTTGCAGCACAGAACTTGCCATCACACATGGACCGCAGTATGTTGAGCTGGAGCCGATGAGAGTGCTGGTTGTGTATTTGGCTGTTTCCATGGTGATCCAAATGGCAGAAGGCAGCACTTGGCTCTCCAACTGTGAGCCGACATGGTGTTTGTCTGCTGCACTTACTGGTTGTTTTTTGTTTTGTTTCGGTTTTTTCGGTTTTTGTTTTTTTCATTACACTCTGTGATCTACAGCAGCCAGCCATTCAAAGTGAAATGCCACTTAGTCTGTGAATCGTGTTTATGTGTGAGATGGGATTCACAGTTCCACTGGGAACTGCTGCGCTGGCGTTCACTGCTGCTCAGAAGCGGCCGAGCAGCAGTCATAGGATACGCTGTTTTGAAAGCTATTGAACAGTGGATCAATATGAAAACATGATAAATCACTCATTTTAAGTTGCGGGCCCTTGTCCGACATCCATCATCACCCACGTAGTGTAGACTCAACTGGTTTCACAACAGAGGCAGCAGGGGAAGTGATGAGCTGAACAGCTGAGGTATCTGCACAAATAAGGGGCTCAGTTACTGAATCATAGTCTGGTGTGTGTGTGGGTTGCAGTATAATGTATGAGACAGTACATACATACTGTACACTTTCGTCTCCACTTTTGTGTGTGTGCGTGTGTGTTACAGTCTGAACGTCAGACCTCTTCACAGGGCCGGCTATCTTTAGATTTGAGGGGCCACAGCAGCACTGCAGAGAGGATCTTCAAGTTCTCTTGCCAACGGCAGATATTGTTGCGCTCCTGCCCTCAGTTTCCAGTTCTTGTCACGTTGTCCTGGTTGTTATGGTTACGTAACAGCTTTTGGTGTATGTGCAACTCTTGAGACCATGCTGGCAGGATGGTCCTGTGATGTATACCGTTCATTATTGTTTTAAACTGAACGTCGAATTCATCAAGATCCTCCCTAAAGTGTTGTAGCAGAATTCATCCAAAGCTGGTGTTTCCTGTGCAGCGTCATGCAGACAGGGCTCGGGCAATGCAGCAGTGAAAACCCGCCTGCCTTCCCCCACCTCTCCATCCCCTCTGCTCAATGCTAACCCTTTCCTAGCCCTGGCACCCCTACTGCGGCTTTGATCCTGGCACTTGAAGAAACCATCTCCATTAAAGGGGAGAAAAGTGGGAGTGACAGATCTCTGATGGTGGCATTATCATGGCATCCAGCTGGGCCGTGTCATACTGAATCAGCTGCACAGTAGACTCGGGCCTAATATACTGTACAAATGACCTCTTCTTCCATTGTGATGCTTTGATAATGATGCAGGAAGAAAATGAAGTATTTTCTCTATGGAAAGTGGTTTCAACCAAAGCAGAAATCACTTGTCAAATCATCTGCGCTGAGACTGAGTTCTCACTTAATGCTTTCAAATCAGATTCTCATGCTGCTCATTTGGATGCCATAAAAAGCACACAGAGCGCTGAGGACTCTGATTTAACCTGAATACATGTTTCACAGAACTTACCACATGACAGCCTAGTTAACAATGCAATGCTCTACCACCTAGAGACAGAAGACGGAGAACAAAACACCGCGCTGTGGATTAAAATCTTTTTACGAGGAGTACAAGTTTTTGTAGATGGTTTTTTCATTTGGAGCCGGTGATAAGCAGCCACCTTGTTCAGCAGCACATACAGGTTACATCACCAGCTCTGATCGAGATGATACAGAGCAAGAAGTGCAGCCAAAATATTGTAGCCCAAAGGCTGTAGCATATGCAGTAGCTGGCAAACTGGATATTTCTTACTTTCATCAGGAGAAAGACTGTGTGGGTACAATGTGACACTTAACGTGCCTACCAGACAGAACTTGGCTCCAGTTTTTCTAACTTTTACAGTCTGCTGGCTGTAAAAGTTGGGTGTGTACTTTATGCACCTACCAATTAATGGACTTGGCTTCTGGTTAACTCACAGTAATCAATGTAGTAGCCTTTTGTATAAGTACTTTCTTGGATGTGCTTTGAAATGAACTTACAACTGCAGTTATCAATATTTTATATTAACAATGAATGACATCTTGTAAAAGGAGTCAAATGTAGCCACAGTTTCCTTCAGCTCTACAGAGCATTTTAGCATCTTTGAGCTCATTGTTTTGGTTGTCTCTTTTGCAGTTTCCAACTTTACAGCAGAAATAAACATGTTTACAGCCTGGTACAAAAAACAGTTTTGGTCTCTATAGCTTGTTTCCTCTTTCATGACAACTGCACGGGAGGTGAATTTTTATATAACTCACCATTTACATTTTATTAAGGCTTAAAGTTATGTATCATTGAGGGTGTGATGCTTTGAGTGACAGGTGGGTGAGCGTATACCTGCCACAAGCCGGCATGAACCGAAGTCTCGACTCCACACACGCCCCATCTCTTACAGTTAGGTGGAGTCAGGCACTGCCAAGATGGCGACAGTGTAGCAGCTCACTCTTAGGTTCAAAACCGCTCATGGAGGCTACGTCCATCTTTATTCACATCTATCAAGTCTATGGTGCATGCCCAGTATACATGAATGGAGTTTTAAAATGAAAGCACATTAGTGTTGTGGTAGCCTGAATACTGGATTTACCAGGCAGCCAGTTAGCAAGTCAGTTGTGTGTTTTGTCTCATTGCTGTTCTACCAAGTGACCAAATAAAATTAAGTAATGCAGGTGTAAAGGATCATTTAGGTTAATTAAAACAGGTTTTCACAACTTCACACCAAGTTAACTGTGAGGATCTGCTCGTTATACAGGTTGTAAAACACCCAAGTTAGTCGAGTTTATGGAAGAGAAAACAAAGATGAGCTGTTTCATTATTACCCAAACGTCCTGGTTCAACCTTGACCTACTGTACTTACATCAGTTGAGTTTGAATGACAGCTTATTAGCAGCATTGCAGATGCACTCATTTTCACTTATACGTCCAAAAAAGAGTGGTTTAGATAAACTTGCTTAGCTGCTGGCTTGTTTACAAGCCGAATGATCGTCTGACTGCTCATATCTTTGTCCGTCAGACTTTGTTTTAGTGATGTTCTGACACCATGTTATTATGATCAATAGAAGTGATGTCCAAAACAGTATAAACAGGACTTGATAGTTCCTTTAAATGAAATGAAATATTCAAAATGAATGGCACATACAATAGATTTCTTTTTACTTCCCTAATAAGCCTATTTATCAAAGGTACTTTAGCAACAAAAAGTAAAGTACAATATAGTAAAGTAGTGAAGCTGACTGACATCCTGATGAAGTTGCAGTGTTGTGGCCTCAGCATCAAACTGCAGGCGTCTTTAATGTACATGTATAGAAATGATGGAGGTGCCCTGTCAGTCCCCGGTATTGCCTCCAGCTTACAGGAGTCTCTTCTCTTGCTCCCCTCGTCTCCCCATTTGAGCTGGTGCTGTTGTGCTAATCTGACATGCTGCTCTAACATCAAAGGCTTTTTCCCTGGACTCCTCCAACGTCCTCCAACCGCTAACCCCCCCCCGCCTCCCTTCTTCCCCGCCCCACCCACACATCTCAGCTACTGACAGGCCTCAGTTTAGTGCTCACATTCAGTCAGGAGGAGGTGGGGTTGGGTGGGGTGGGGGTTCTGATGAGGAGATTAGGATTTCTTTTATTTGAATCAGGGTGTCTCATGTTTTATTAATCATGAAGCCTATACATAAGACAGTGTGTCTCATTCCAAATTCAGAGCTGTTGTTGAACGGAGAGAGCAGAGAACCTGGCACCTGGCAGCTCACTCCTACATGCATGTTCATCTCAGGGAGGAACATGTGCTAAATCTCTTCACAGCCCCGAGTCATTTCACAGCAACTGCAGTTAGAGATGAGATGGGATAAAAGTGTGCATAGCTGGTAATAGAAAAAAAATAAAGCACTGTCACTCCCATTGCACACAATTGGTATGCATTGCTATGAGGCTGAGGGTCTTGACATTTTAACCTGGGGTATAACCAAAATACAAAGAAGGGTCCAACTGCAGACCTCACATCTGTGGACTCCAGATCTGAAGAGAGTAAGGTCCCTGGGCAAAACCTTACAGCATGTTTGTTTGTGCAGCAGGTTATTATGACCCATAGTTACGTTTTCTTGTTAGGTGACATCTAGTGGTCATAGTAATTAGGACAGGGGCAAAGGGAAAAGTGCGGTTAGGTTATGGTGGATGGGTGGGTTGACAAAAAACAGGAATCTGACACAGGAGAATGGTGTTCGATTCCCAGGTGAAAGTAGCTGTTTGTGTTGTTTCTATCATCCATGACCGTTCAACAAAGTTAACCACCCAAATCACAATCTTTGCCCAAACCTAACCAAGTCATGACCATTATTATATTAACCATGCCGACAAAGGTAGGTACGCTGCTGTTTATACAGTCAGCGTTTATTATTGTAAC